ATATTGGTTTATATCCGCAAATTTTTGTGGCCCTTGTAATTTTTTATGGCCAGAGAATGATTGGGAGCCGCCTATTAGTTGCTCTTAGATTTCTTATTTATCTAGTAACGTAATATTTAATCCCAAAAATAACTGTTTTGTAAATTTATTATATATTTAAATCCACGGAAGCCACTTATATACATGTTAAAAAAAAGTATATGTGTGTGTGCGCATGTATAGTTTTAGGTGAATGTCAATGATTTGATAAAACAAGATCTGTACCACAAACTACCAACGATGCATCCAAGAATAATAATTTAACAAACGATTAAACTACATCGATTAAAGTCAAGTCTCCGGCGTGCTACTGCGAACACATGGGAGGCAATATGCCAATCATCGAACCTCAACAATGTAGATGCTCACCTTCAGTTCTTTAGAATGCCTTTTCAGCAGCGACATGGTCTTGAGGATATGGCGGGCATCCGAGGATCCTATTAGCAAAATATTTATCTCTGAACCAACAACGATTTCTTTCATCTTCTTCATTTCTGCAATGAGGTCTAAGGCAGGACTCAGACCCCAAAGCATTGTGGCACAATAGTCGTTTCACTGAATCACGCTAACTAAACTAACCTTACTAAGAATAATAAATTAATCTAATATCACATGGTTGACATTTTTGAAATTATGTAAGATAAAAATGTGAAATTCTTATCCATAAGCTCACAATAGTAAAGATAAATTTTTACTAATAAGCTAAACTAGGACTTTTTTTTCTATTCCTTCCTCCCTTTTTAAACTATAATGGGGTTTCCCCGGCCAGAGGAGATGGCAAGGGATTAATCCTCCCGGAACAGGGACGACAATTCGTAATAATTTTATCAGGTTAACTTCAGTTTGTCGAGATTGCCGGACAACACGTATTATGTACATGAGTTAGCTTGCCCGGTCACGCCGCACAGTGGTTGAAAATCGATATTTTTTGGAATAAACCCTAGCAATACTGATCTCTAAGTCTCAGAAAAATAGTTTGAGGGCGAATAAGCAAGGTAGTATTGTGGTTTAAAATGTTTTTACAGTTAAAGTAGTGAGTCAATTTATGAGATGTCTATTCTAAAAAAAAATTAAGTTGTTTTTCAATGTTATAAAATAAATAAAAGCATGATTTTGTGAGGAGATGGAAGGTTGAGAGATTTCATTCCGTGCTACCTAAAAACTCATTCCATGAAATTATTTTTTAACAATGAAGAGAAGAATAGTTGGGGTGATCAGTCAAATAAGAATGCAAAAATAAATGATAATATTTATTTTGACATTTGCCGACGTAAACCACCCCTAACCAATTCTTTTTTTTTTTTTAATATTTAATTGATATATTCAGGGCTCAATGACTAATTTAAAATATAACGAAAATATACATTAATTTATAAAACACATAACAATATACATAAAATTATATACTTGCTTATTTTAGGGTCAATATTTTTTTTACTTCAAATAAATGTTCGTTCAAAAATAAACTAATAAGTTTTATTCAATTTGCAAGATTAAATTACGCTTTATCCTCTATACAGTTTATACAGCTGACATCCCTGCCTGTCCCAACACTGTCATCCCACATATGCCTATGACACATGTATCCTATCAGTAAACAATGACCCAGCAATTGCATCCCAAATACTTCAATCACACATCATAAATCTAGAAGAATGGTGTCAAAACTGGAGAATTAAAATAAACTCCAATAAATCCCACCAAATTACCTTTACCCTTCGTCGTAAACCAACCACTTCCTGTCCTACAGTTTCCTTTAACAATACTCCACGCATCCCTGTTGAGCAAATCCGATACCTAAGACTCCACCTGGACAAACGACTAACTTGGAATCCTCATACTAGACTGAAACGACAAGAAACCGCTCGACATTTCCGATTACTTCAGCACTTACTAGACAAACGCTTACTAAACTTCCCATTAATTACAAAAGACTCATATACTTGACTATAATAAGACCTATTTGGACTTACGGAGTTGAGTTATGGAGCTCCACTAAACCATCGAATTCCTCTCGCATCCAATCCTTACAATCCAAAATCCTTCGTAAAATCCTCAATGCTCCTTACTTTGGCACTAATAAAATTATCCATAAAGATCTTAATGTTCCTTATGTTTCAGATCTGGCCCAATCTAGAAACCTATCCTTCCATAATAAACTTCAGAATCATCCCAACCCTCTCGTTTCTAACCTTGCTTCCTCTTCAATTCCTGATAACCCTCCGAGGCGTCTGAAAAGAAGATGGCCCCGTGATCTCCTAATGTAGTCATATCATTAGAGTGCTACCATTGGGTGGTTACTCAGCAAGTGTATTCATGTCATTATATCTATTATGTCCAAATTTACTTGATGTATTTATGTAATACAGTTGTAAATGTCATAAGAAATAAAAATAAATAAATAAAATTTAAAAAAAAAAATACCCTTAGTTTTATTTATTTTATTATCATACGGCTTTAATCTGCTATTTTACTTATCTTGTATATTACTTTATTTTTTTATTTATAAATATGTATTTTTTGTTCTCTTCTTACTTGGTTATTTTAATTTATTTTCCTTTCTTATGTACATATTGTGTGAATGAATACGATAGCTCTAGTACCAATGCCCTTCAGTGTGGCAGACTGTATTAATACTCAATAAAAAATTAAAAAATTACGCTTCAATTACAGGCGTAGGTGGACGCAGCTGGAATCTGTTTTAATGATTTTTAGGATTCTAATCTTACTAAACAAATGGAGTTGCAGCTGCGGTGGCCTGCGATAAAAAGGTCTGGACCAACAATTTTCTTTCTATTTATTTTTGAACTTTTTCAAAATAATATTGTGGACTTGAAAATACGAATAAGTAGTGTATTTTTTGGAATAGCTGTTCATGATGATAAAAGAAATCGTATCAAACATACAAAATGTGAGTGAAAATAATTATAATAATGTCGAAAAATTTCCGTTGTAATTCAAACAATATTCCATAATCAGATTTGGAAGGCTCGTGCAACGTTAAAAATCAATGTTTTATTGATTGAATTAGTGAAATATTTTTTGTAACTAATCTATTTTTGATTGACGAAAATAAAAAAAACATTTTCAATACCTTCAAAAACTAGGTTTTGTTTCCGCCTTTCAACCACTGTGCGCCGCCCCGAACAAAAAATCGAACTTACGTTACCGTGCTGATATTATTTAATTCCTGAAAAATATCCTTCCTTGGTCATCTCTCGTTCTTCAAATGTATGTACCGTTTTAGCCGAAGGCTTAGGGGTTATGCAGCAAACAGTTCAGATTCAAATTTTCGAATTGAACCCCATTTCATTTCACGATGTTCAATCAATAAAGATCTTAAGAAAGAAACACTAGCGAATCCAGGGTTTAATTTTGGGGGCTTCAGCCCGAACGATTTTTTTTTCATATATATAACGATAATTAATTTGAAAAAAAAAGGGAACTAACTACCTATATGACATGGTGTCTTAGTGACTCTTGAAGTCCTATTAAAGGTAATAACAGGAACAATAATAGTTTAAGAGATAGTTTTTAATATTTTTTGTCTGTAAAACATGGTTATATTTCACCATTTTTGGGGGAGGAGGGCTTCAGCCCGAAAGATTCTCCTGTGGAGAAACAAATATCGATATGTATATTACATGAACACATCCAAATATTAATTCGACATATTGAAAGAAATAACAATATTTCGATTAATCTGCCACATAACGTTTCATTTCCTTATTTTTATTTTTCATTAAGAATCAGAATATATCCTCGGTTTATTACAAAAGGGCACTAAGTGTATTTTTGATGTAGGTAAACTTTGAAATATGTATTTTGCAAATTTCGACCTCATTTATATATACAAAACACCGTCGTGAGTTCATGAAAATGACACACATCCTTTTATTTATCCCCATCCCAACTCCCCACATATATTATTACAGTAAGACTCGAAATCGGTTTTGTACCAAATATAAGCTCCAGTCATGCGCAAAGAGCATGAATAGGGTAACGTTAGATTCAGAATTTCACGGGGGGTTAGCGAATCGTATTCTCCACTATTGTTTTTCTTTCTAAAATAAATAAAATCGATACAAACATTTTGCTAGGCTTCAATACTGGAACGGTGTTAGGTCTGTAGATCGATACGGGACAAATTGGAGCTTGAAGACAATGTGATGCGTACAGCAAGCGTTTTAAACCCAAAAACGTATTATTTTTGAACTAACGCAAGGCCTAGAGTTGCACCCACACAACCTTACTTTAATTTTAGTATTGTCATTGAATACGTGTCTCATTTTGTGTAGGTCCTTTTGATTGAGAGAGGAGGAGTTTATATTATTTTTCGACAGTGTTTTTGATCGGCAAGCCATATCATCGTTAATTCTTCACCAAATCCCAAGATTGAGCCACCAATTTTGAAGGCTTACTTCTTCTTCAGATGGGCATAATAGTCCAATCACCCCGAAAATTCAGGCAAACAAGTAATCAAAGAAAACAAACTTTACTTACGAATAACTAAAAAATTACACACTTTTCCCTTGGTTATGCCCATGATTAAATAAAATATTACTAAATTCCCTGCAAAAGGAAAAAAAAAAATCATCGAAATTTTTAGCAATGATACAGCTTATTGAAATTTGTAAACATGTTGGTTCCAAACATTAATGAAGATTTAAATTAATTTTTGTTTCCTTTGTCGATTATATTTATCGATGAAATAACAATTAATTTCTTTATCTTTTGATACGTTGCATTATTTTATTTTCTTATTAATTTGGCATTTGATAACAACATGCTGCGCGAATTTTTCGCACGGGCCTACTAGTCATATATAGTTACACTAAGTGCACAATTTTTTTATTTCATAAAGGGTAAATTCATCAAAATTCTCAATCATAGTAAGTTATCAAATGTCATTTTGCAATATGATTAAAATTACAACATTCAAGAGTGACTTATTCCCTTACCTATTTTCCTCCACAACTTATATTCGCCTGCGCAGACCCTGGTACCGCCTTTTATATCATGGAGTTTCATGTTGTAATCCCAGTCAAAAACCCCTTCCCTAGAGTCGTACCTCGTCCCAAGTGATTTTCTTAACTTGTTGTCCCAGATCTTGGCGATGCTATATCTGTTGCGAATCCAATACTTAAAGATATTTTCCAACTGGTCTATTTCTTTATACTTTACAAAATCCATGTCGACTAGAGGTAGTCTCTTCTTCTGATAATTTTTATTGGTAACCATATGAATTAATTGAACCGCTTTGGACATGAGATACTTAGCGGTGACGGGTCTTAGAAGTGTGTTACCATAGATTTCCATCCAAAGACGCGCTTTCTCTTGGATTCCGAGGTGATCCTCCGGTTCTAGCGCGATAGTGAGGAGAAGGAGCTGCCTTGCTACGAACTCAGTGGCGAGATCCATGACAAAGAAGTTAACATCGCAGTCGTCAACGGAATGTCTCTTCAATGCTGATATCGTTTTAAGGATGTGTCGTCCATCAGTAGAACCTATCAGAAGTATATTGATTATTTTCTTCCCGAAGAGAGTGTTCACCTTTTCATATTCAGAGAGAAGGTCCAAGGCAGGGCTTAGACCCCAAAGCATGTTAAAACTTCTAAAAAAATCTCTTATTTCAAACTGAACTGAATAGGTTTCTTAAAAAGAGATAACCTCTGTAGTAAACAACCTGTCACTATGGTGACGGTTTGTAGACTCCCCAGTTACGAAGTCAGTTTCTTATTTTAAAAAAATCCATTTTCGATTGTCTGGGTTAACCCAAATTTACCATTAAAATGAATGGAGAAGTTCTCAATGGATATATTGGCATTATATAGTTTGTTATTATTATTTAATATTGAATTATTGATCTGTTTATCTAATTTGAGGGAATTATTTTTCTCTGAAGTTAATCTTTTATTCTAATTTCTTTCACCTACTTTTGAAAAACGTAAATGAACTGTTCGTTGACAAAAAAACAACAGTTCTTAAGAACCGTTGAAAAAAAATAGTTCATAGAACAACGCAACGATTCATGGTGTAAGACATATTCTTTTCATACCAGTCTTATACGTTTTAAAAGGGATTCAATTCGTTAAAGACAAGTCTGGAAATGAATGAAACGTTTTATGTATAAAGTTTGGCATTGTTCAAGCTTGAAATTGATAACCTTTTAATTTAAATGCTTAATCATAAAAATTACTTTTTAACTAATTAAAACTGAAAATTATTTTTTACGCATAGAACACTTTTTATTTTAATAATATTTTAACCTTAGCTTGCTCTGTTTTTAAGAAGAGGTGAGCAATAAAATATCTTGGGAGAAGTGGGCTGGGGGGATTCTTGAGTCATTGACCTTGGGGGGGATGGGCACCTCTGACACAAGGTAAGTATTGTTTCCGCCCTTAAAGCCCAAACAAACCCATGGTAAGTTTTAATATAATCCATATAGGAGATCCAGGGGAGAACCTGTATTTTAGATAGAATATATTATTTAAATTTTAGCCAAACCATCAAAACAAGTAAGAAACTTGCAGGCTTCGAATTCGGGGCAGACAGGGGAAACAAGAGCCCTAGGAGTGGTTGCATGTCACAAGTTTTTTGTGGGGGAGGGGACAAACATTTTTATTTGTTTTTGAATTTTTTGTATAAAGTTTCAATTTCAAGGAATATTCAATTCAGGGAATAAGGGGAAAAATATTAAATTTAATGGAACATTTTTTATAGGGTTCAATTTAGAAGGTTTTCAAAGTAAGGAAATGATAAAACAGACACAGCAAGATTAGTTGTATAGGATTTACAGTTTTTCCAGTTTAATTTCACTTGCACTGTTTTTAAGAACAGTAAAGCAATAAAATTTCTTGGGAGGTGGTATGCGCTATTTGACCTTGAGGAGGGGGATGGATCACTCCTGGGCTCTCATCAAATATTTAATTTAACACTAAAAATTAACTGAATATATAATATATATAGTATAGTTATCTATACTTTATTTAAATTTAAACTTTAGAGCTCAGGTATGAAAGTAGAAAATCTTTTGACTCAGTTTTTAGTTTCTCTGAACATTATAAATCATAAAAATTTCCAGAAAATTTATTTTACCTTCAGGTTTTTTGTAAAACTTGTCTTTTTAACTCCTCAGGCTTTTGTTATAAAAAAAAAAAAAAAAAAATTTAGACATTTTTATTTTTTTCAAATTAATGGTTATAATCTTTAATATATTAGTTATAAAGCTTTATTTTAGTTAAATAACTTATGATCAAAATGAATTTCTGCTCAAAGTAAGGTGGTCTGTGAAAGTTGTGTAATATAAGTACTATATATTTTATTTCTATAAGTTTGCATTTACTGTAAAAAATTTACATCTAAAATAAATTTTTATTTATAAAAAATATGTGAAATAAAATATTTAATATGGGCTGTAACAAATAATTTTTTTTTTGTTGAAAAACAATAAGATTTATAAATTTACTTTAAATAATAACATTTAATACTAATACTAAATATCCCTGATCAAAATATATAAAATCTATGTTCATGAGCATATTCAATGAGTCCCCATCATTTGACTTCTGCTACGATCTCTACCTTATTAATTCTTATTTGGTTGCATTTAAAAATTATTCTTAGAATAAATGATACTTCAAAAAATAAAACCTCAAAAATTAGCATAATGGTAGTGAGCTTGTCCTTTACAGACAATTCCAAATTATAAGATTTGAAAATTATGGCATAATTTGAAAAACTAAATGTTATCTTTCAGTAATCAAGATGAATTTCACAAATCTTAGAAGCTTCAAAACTAAAATTGTTATGAAGATCCTTTAATAAAATTAGTTTAAATGTTATGGTCTAATTCATGGTTTATGATTTAGACCAGAAGTCTCTAAACTTTTTGTCCCGTGGGCCATATTAAGACCTCCACTAAGTCTCACGGGCCGTGGGTTGTGTTGAAAAAAAAAACACTCCTGTTCTATAAATGACAGTTCTGTTGTGAAATAAGATATCTAAGAGAAAAAAAAAATACTATGCAATAAATGTTTTGGTAACCTCTTGAGTAAATAATTTACTAAATTTAATATGTTTTAAAATTTTACCATATAATCAAATAAATTTTTGCCGGGTCTGGTCCTAGGGCCGTTGTTTGGAGACCCCTGATTTAGCCCATGATGCCTTAACTAGAAAAAAATACATTCTCAATATGATCTAATGTATAAAAAGCATACTCTTCTTATCTGGCTATTAGGACAGATAACGGGTTCACAAAAAAATATTTCAAACAAACATTAAGCAATGATTTGAGCAGTGCTAATGGAAAATGTTAGAGAGAGATCTCGGTCTATTTCAAGCAGTGAAGCACTTAAAAACAATAGTATTTACTTGATATATTTAAAAATTTTAATAGAAGTTCTTAATACTGATTTTTTCTGTAGTTTAATTGAAAAAAAAAATATCACTACCAACCCATGAAGTGTCTCAGATTCAGTAATTTTTAACGAAGTACTGTTTCTTGGTCAATGGCTATTCAAGGAGGTGACTTACCTGAGGAGAACATAAAAGCAAAGTGCCTTACACACTAAACCACCTTCTTTAATATTAAAGTGGAATAAATTCCTACTCTTAATATGTTTGACATAATATTAATATTTCAATGAGTAAATTAATCAGAGATTTAAAAGATGGATTCTATAGATTTAAAAAAAAAAGAAGAAAAAATATTAATTATTTGTTTTATGTATTTCAGGTACAATACAATTTTGAAATTCTATTCAGTGAACGATAATAATAAAGAATTATACACATTTATTTACACTATCTCTCTATATAACACATCTTTAGATTTGGTAATTATTAATTATATAAATATTGTATTTACATCAATCAATTATATATACAAATATACAACAAGGTTGTATATATAATAACATATATTCATCTATATAAGCTACACAACTTCACTAACGTTATATGTTGATCTTGCACATAGAATCGATATGATTTAGCACCTTTACGACTTTTAACTTATAATAATTAAGTTGTTACAATAATTTACACTTCTACAATACTACTATACTGAAACACTTCTAAGTATTTACTAGTTGTCACAGTTAAAATAATGAATATAACAAACTATCATAATATTGTGGCTATATCGTTAAAAAAGGTAATATTTTTTTAACACTTATTTGAATCCTAGTAATTAATCATAAAATTAAAGAAAAAAATATTAGTTCAGACTTTTATAAAATAAACAATGATATTAAGTAAGTATATAAAGGTTAAACAAAAAGTAAAAATAAAGCTTCAAAGCAATAATTAAAATAGAAAAAATAATTAATTAAATTAATGAACGCTTGTGGTTCGTTATAAAATTACAAGAGAATCGAAAATCCACTACAATTGAAAGATGACTAAAAATTGACAAGTTTTTACATCACAATAAGGTTTAAAATTTCAGTTAAAAAACAAAAAATAACAGAAGAATTATCCAACATTTCTTTCTATACTGTAAAAGTTATAAATTTAATCTCTTCTAGATTTGTAGAAACTATTATTAAGTACTTTTTTTATTAAAATAATAAATAATAGTTATTCTATACATATCATTCTCAATATTTTAGAAATCAAGAAATGATTTATATATATATATATATCAATTACAATTTAATTTAAGAGATAAAATTAAAAAAAAAAAAAAAAATTAATTTAAAATTTTTACATTTATGACCTCATCCCTACCTTCCAAATTGGCCATTGTATCACAATTTTTAATCTATAACTAAATGCATATAAATAGATAATGACTGTATGAAATTTCAATAGATAAATCACGATCACAATCAAAATGAAAAGAAAAAACTAAAAACTAAAACACCCAAAATATGTATCTGTATTCTACTAGATGGGAAGTATTCAATGGCTAAAAATAATCACCAAGGATTAAATATTTGACAGGTCAAAATTTCAGGCAAAAATATGACCTGCGTCCATAATGTTCCATTATATAAGAGTATCCTAAGAACAGTAATCTAGCACAAAAGTTTAATCATTATAACTATTGAAAATATTAAGTCACAAATAGATTTTCAAGATTCTAATACATCTTATCATTCTTTTCTAAAACAATGTTTACAAATGTTTAAGATACAGTAACTACACACATATACATAACATTAAAATTTTCACAATAACTATTAAAATATTAAACATCAAGAGATAAAAGACTTATAGACATTCAAATTTAAAAGTTAAAAATTAGGCACCTTTTAACACAAACATTTGAGGATAATAGAGATAATAAAATAACCAACAAAAGGTCAATGACAGTAAATAAATTAATTGTTAAACAAATTGTATAAAAATAATTTTATATTTTATTAAATAGAGAACACACTACACGATTCTTTCATTTAACTCATAAAAAAACTGATTAGAATTAGTTATTCATCTTAATTAAGTACAACTAAAGGACCCACATTGTGATTGGTATTCTGATTTCTACATCTGAAGTAGTGTGTTACATGGGACTTCACTTGGACAAAAGACTGATACAGAGAACCTATACTAAACAGGAAAGAAAACTGAAGGAACAATTTAGACTATTGTCAAGATTATTTGACAGATGCTCCAAATTACCCTTAAGAAACTAAATTATTATTTATAAATTACTTATAAAACCGTTATGGACATATGATCTATGAGACACTGCCAAAATCTTTAGACATCCAGAAAATTCAATCATTCTATTTAACCAAAGACATTGCAAAAAATAGTGGACTCTCTGTTCCATGCGACAAATGACTAGCTGCACAGGGACTCGGAAATCCAAATGGTATTTACAATATTGTGACAGAAAATTATAAAAACTTCCACCAGACACTGATTTACAACATGAAACCATTAACCCAAATACTTAGTTATACCATGAACCCATTAATCTCATACCAATGACTTTTGAAGTGCTGGTCAAGAGACTTTCTTACTTAATCCATACCCAGAAATGAGCGCAAATTTGCTTAATGCAACCAAAAACTTTGCAGATATCAAATTTCAAGCCTGTCAAAATATATTGCTTTAAATAGTTCTAAAAATGAAATATGACATTACAATCTAGAGGAAATAAGTACATTCACCATTTAGCAAAAGGGAACAAAGCCACAAAATGTGTAAATATAAGTTAAAAGTGGTTTTTAATGAAATAACAGCTTACTATTTTCATGTATCTTTTATGGGAAATTGAAGTTAGAATATAATGCAACATTGTTACTGAAACCCCCCAAATCTTTCAAAAGACTACAGTACTCCCACTAAGTTTTGTATTTTAGTAAATAATTAATTTAATTTTGTCCCTAGTAATTTTTTAATACTTATGATTTATAAAATTCTATATTATTATATGGAAGAGATGATTTAAACAATTATGTAATAATAATACTAATGTCATATCAAGATGATGGTTTGAGTAAATTCAAAACATAGACAATATGGATTGGTTCTCTTTTGTTAAATGCACTCCCTTATTTATTCAAGCAATTCCCAATAAATATTTTATGAAAATCATAGATTTAATTAATTTATTCATGGCATAAGTACGCTCCTTAATTTAGTTAAGTATGATTTATAAGAGATGCTTGGTTTTTAATACTTCTTTCTCAAAAACAAATTTGAGAAAAACCTTATTAAGAGGAATGAAATGAATCTGTTACAATACACAAAATACTAAATAAAATAATATGGTGACAGAACTAAATTAATTACATTTTCAGCAACAAAGTTAACATATTAGATCAAAAATTGAAAAAGTTTGAAAGTCTAAAGTTAAAATATTAAAAAAGGTGCCTTATTCAACAGATTTTAAAGTAAACACTGATATAGACAACATAGGACACTCTACACTGAATAATACTAACGATTTCTATTAACCTAATCACTACTAACGATGGTAACTGATGACAAGTAAATTACAACTTCATCTCCCATATGATGACATGGGCATGGGCTTGGATGTTCTTGTAGCAGCACTGTTGATGGTTGACATAACCACGACCTGCAGTCACACTGACCAGGGTGGCCTCTTTGCGAGGCTCGACTGTCCTCGCTTCAGCCCATTCTTCTTCTTCCCTGACGTACATCAGCTGACCATAGAGGCCGTAGACATCTGATGCAAGTGCTTTTGAAGGAGGACGCTTGAGAACAGTAGGAGGGTCGTGAAGAGGCAGTAGCAGGGTCAGGGCACCACTGTGACCATGATACGACACATTGACCTGCAAACAATAATCGACAATCACTAACAATATCCTAAAGCTGATCCTACACGATCAGTTATGAATGACAGTCAGACATCTTTTTGCTCTGTTGACACTGAGATAACAGGCAGAGTGGAGTTGGCGCATTGTAAATTAATAATGTAATTCATTAAAAAATAATTTATTTGGAAATTATCCTTTATAGAATTGGACATCAAGAGAAAAGTGGAGCTATAATAATTACTTGCAAATGCCTAAAAATCTATTTAAACTACTTAAAAAAATTAAGAAAAAATATTGTGTGAATAAAAAATAAGTTGAAAAAGGAAAAAGAACTAACAAATATCATAATACAGTTTAAGATTAATTTATTTCCCACTTTCTTATTAAACAAAAGATTATTTGAACACGGTTCATAAAAATATGAACTAGGGATATGAAAAACTGTTAATTTTAAATGAAATGTAAAATATAATGTATACTGATAGCGAGGCTCAAGGTAACTAACCTATCTAGTAGTTAGGTTAGTTTCCCTACAACTTTAGCTTTGATTTCAGGATTTCTGAAAATCTGTCAGTCTCGTCCATCAGTATATCAATCTTAACCAAACATGGAAATCTTAATGTCAATCATTCCTCAAAACGTCATTCCGACTGAGCGTTTATTGTTCACTCAAGGTACTAAAATATAATGGAAACCGTTATATTTAGGTCAAATAGAAGATAACTTTCAAATACTGTTTCTGCTAATTCCATGCTGGGTATGTTGGAAAAAACTGATATTTTTCGAGAAAAAAAAAAAAGAAATAAATAACTACAAGAAAAGCTGACAGATTATTATATGAAAGTGAGAATATTTTTAAACACAATGACTGACTTTGCAGATTTAATTAATTATTTTTTTTTTTACAAATCAATACAGCATTTACAACCAATGTCACCACTTAATTTGTACCAACTCAAAGGAAATGTTTCAGTCACATAAATACGAATAAATTTTTTAAGGAATTCTTATCTCATGTGACCACCATCTTACTCTAAAATCTATAAACAGTTAAATTATACACTAATTCATGACTATTCTTCCATAAAATACTAATGCCTTAATTCAGATTAGAGATTTTCAACAAGAAACCATTTGAAAAGATGTAAAATATTTTAGAGATATAAAAAATGACATTTTTAAACTTCTCTAGAAAAATATTTATATTTTATTCAAGATTAATTGAAAAATCATGAAAACAAAACTGATAAAGAATTAAATTTGATTTGTTCTACAAGCCCAGAACAGAATTCTTTCCAAGATAGGTATAGAACCCCACTATTTTTTTTATTGATCTTTTTTTTATAAATAATTACTTATATTTTATCTTTAGTGATATTTTAATTTTAACGCTGAATAAAATCCTATACGGAAGAGGTAATTCAATTATATAATCACTATAAATAATGGCCTTATAACGTTTAACTAAGAAAATTTTTAATACATTATTTTATGATCGCTCAAGATAAAACAAATCAAACTTAACCAGAATATTTTATGAAAAACTTACGAAGTCATCTTCATTCTTCCAATGAAAGCATGAAAATAAGTGAATGATAATTAGCTAAATTTAATTAATAAAACAAATCAAATTTTAAAAACACTTTCAGAAATTAAGTTAATAAATCAGAGCTCATATTAAGATCTGAAGAATAAGTTTGGTATTTTTTTGTAAATACAAAATTAATTTATGGATCAGAATAAAATTAAAATATAAAATGTGAGAAAGCAATGGAAATGATAAAAAAATAATTAATAATGATTGGAGAGATTATCAGAGAAAATAAATAAATAAGCAAAATAAAACTCTATAAAAAAGCAAATAGTTATGATGAAGAAGAAACTCTTAAACCTATAACTATTTCAGAAAATGCCAAAAATGACTTACGAAGTCCTCTTCCCTCTTTTGGTTTAAGCATAACAAAATTTAACAAATGTTATTAATAAGCATTGGTATATAGAACATTAATATGATTTAAAAAAAATATTTTTATCTTGAAATTAAATTGTAATAAATATCTGGACTAGGAGAAAAACATAAAATAAACAAATTAAAACAGAAGAAAACATTATCAAAAATAAATTAGTAAATATGAAAAAAACAAATGCTGTATTATGCAATTTACTGGCGATACATATAATTTATTCAATTTTGTCATGAAGTAAATTATAAGAAAAAATGGTTGGCTCCATCCAGACTAAATTCAAATTAAGAGAAGAATAGTTGGGGTGCTCAGTCAAAAAAGGAAGGTAAAAAATAAATTATAATATTTATTTTTTACATATGCCTTAAAAAAAAAAAAAAAAAGTAAAAAATAAATAAAATATATTTTTTTAAATCTGCCTTTATTGGCGCATAAATGGTTTCTTAACAAGTTTAAGAATATATTTAGAAAAATAAATGAAAAATAAAAACACACATGTTTGATGTGTCATGTGCATACTTATGTATGTATACATCACTATTACATAATTTGATTGTTACCAACAATTACAAATAAAAGGAAAATTTCTCTTGTGCCCCCTAATTTATTGTAAAATTTTCTGATTTCCAATGATTTTGACAAAATTCTTTAACTTTTTCAGGGATCCCAAAAACCTGTTAATCCAAACTGGCCAATAAAAATATAACAAATACTAATAAATAAACTTAAAGTACTTTTTTTCTGATAGAGACGTGTTATTGGCATATAAATATCATTGAAGATAGTTAATTTATTGTTGCATTATTTTAAATTAAATACGACAGAATGTAATCTATATGTAATATGAAATTTATAAAAATAATGAGAAACTCACCCTGCCAGATATGATAGGCACACCTTCGAGCCTTGGGAGGGGAACGGTTAGAGCTACACCTGCGTCTGTCCCTACCCAAAGCAATCCCTTACAGGCCATCAGCCCCGTCACCGTAACGGGCCCGTGGAATCCCGTCAGTCTTACAACATTACTGGCTACATTAATATCCTAAAATTAAAAAAAAATTAAAAATTAAGCATCTTTACAAGATCGTATAACTTGAAGTTATTATTAAATAATATAAGAAATTTATATAACAATTAACCTGTAAGTGTTTGAATGTTTCAGTGTGATAGAGGCAAATGGTACTTGAATTACTGAGAGAGATCCAAAGCCCAACTCCAGAATGTGCCATTAAGCTGACATGGCCACCGACATGTTCGTGTTGAATTGTAAAACTTTTCTAAAATTATGAAACAAAATAAATGAAACATTAACATGTAATGATAGGAAACATATTTAAAAATCCGTAGATGATTATTGGATGTTTTATACTAATTCTAGTCAAATCTCTATATTTTAAAGTCTAAATTTTAAAAGTATATTACTCAAGTAATTTAGATAGATAAATATCATAATAAACATACGTTTACTCAATGGTTCCTAAAAGAAATATAAGCATAGAAAATTGATGTGAAGATGCTGCACATTTTCTATCACTGCATCAATGCTTATATTTTTATCAGCCTGGTTTTTCGGTTTTTAGTCTCATTTTTGTTTAGTTTAGTATCATTTCTATTTATTCCATCTGCCTAGTATCTATGTTTTTCTGACAATATAGTCTAACATTTTCTTTACAAGTTATTAAGATATTCAAAAAAAGATCAGGGTGATAAAATGTCAACAATAATTTTTTCCATATTTATTCATGTAAATTTGATTTAAGTGGTTGTCTGGCTATTTTTGGCAAACTGGTAACCAACTTATTTCAACCAGTGGGAAGGTCGAGATTCATTCCATGGTTTAGCCACAAAATAAATTTCAACATGACCAGGCTCAAATTGAACTTACACAGCTAAATTCTATTCAAGGAGAGACCTTAACCCACTCAGCCACCATGGAATTTTTATATTCATATCAACTTTCAAATCTTATATCTGTTAAAAAGCATTTGTTAGCATTAAATCCTTCTGTCCAATCAAGTATCGGTTATTTCATCGATTTCATCAAACTTTAAAGAACTTAAAATTGTTTTTTTTGAAAATTGTTGATACTGCTGCATGAAAAAAAATTTCATGCAACATTAACAAAGAAATACAAAATGTAATTAACTTAAACATGGTTTACATAAAAACATGTTTTGCTGTTTCTAAAAACGCTAGAAATTTAGTGGAAATCTTGTTTAAGAATAGCAATTTTGGTACCTACTTAAATGAAGTTCTCTGAATCTCCATTTTCACATAAGAGTGAAATCTTCATTGAAAAGTTTAGCTTTATAAAATTTACATCTTTTATAAAGTTTTTTTATTTATTTATTTATTTTAAATGATATTTACAAATGTATACAAAAAAATACATCTAGTAAATTTGCACATTGGTATAAAGACATGGAACACATGTTGAGAAACTACCCATTGGTAGCACTCTAATAATATGTCTATATTACAAGATCATGTGGCCATCTTCTTTTCAGACGCCTCGGAGGGTTATCAGGAATCGAATAGCAAGCAAGGTTAGAGACAAGAGTGTTGGGATGGTTATGAAGTTTATTATGGAAGGACAGATATCTGGATTGGGGCAAATCTGATACATAAGGAACATTAAGGTCATTATGGATAATTTTATTTGTAACAAAGTAAGGAGCATTGAGGATTTTACGAAGGATTTTGGATTGCAAGGACTGTATGCGAGAGGAATTTGAAGGCTTGGTGGAGCCCCATAGCTCAACCCCGTAAGTCCAAATAGGCCTTATTATAGTCATGTAAATCAGTCTTTTATAATTGATTGGAAGGTTAGAGCGTTTGTCTAGTAAGTGTTGAAGTAGTCGGAAACGTCGAGCGGTTTCTTGTCGTTTCAGTCTGGTATGAGGATTCCAAGTTAGACGTTTGTCCAGATGGAGTCCTAGGTGACGGATTTGTTCAACAGGAATAAGTGAGGTGTTGTTAAAGGATACTGAAGGACAGGAAGTCATTGGTTTACGACGAAGGGTGAAGGTAATTTGATGGGATTTATTGGAATTTATTTTAATTCTCTAGTTCTGACACCATTCTTCAAGGTTTGTGATGTGGGATTGAAGGGTTTGGGATGCAATAGATGGGTCGTATATATAAATTGTATTTGATATACTACAATCTTTTAAGTTCCTAAAAAAAAAAATGAATTTATAGATTTTTAATTTATGGAAGTTAAATATACAGAGCTTTGATTATAATCTATCTATATAATTGAAACGATTTTTGATCTGAAATTGTTATAGACAACTTTAACATTATTTTTATGAGGGGGGGGGGTGGCTATAAAGGTGATTTTTGAAGTTACTGTGATATAAAATAACAAAAAAAAATTACCTGCATCTCTCCAGTGATAGCGCTCATTACAGTTACAACTTTTCCAGAGGCAGCATACAAAGACAGATTGATGGGCAACAGGCATGAGACAGGATCTGGTCCAAGGCTCACCTCCTCCGGAGTGGGAGAATGGCGCCTGAACACCAGCAGGCGCCCCGTAGTTAGGGCCACGAACACATTGTCACAGTGCACCTTCATGCCTGTCACTTCACCGGTCATTGGTAGTGAATGGGCTACCTCGGGATGGTCAGGTTCTGTGACGGAATATATTAACACCCTGCAATAAAAAAGAGAATGTTTTTTAATTTTCAAAAGATTTCATAAATACTTTTAAATTGTTCAAACTTTATAATACCAATATGTAATTTATAAAATATTTGGAGGCCTAAAAAATATCCAGAGTAGCAAATCTCATTTTTTTTTATTCCGTATAAAAAGTTTAAACTTATTTTGATTTAATGGACAGCTGTAATTACCTCACATAACATCAATCAAATTGAATGAAATCAAGTTTTCTTATAATTTTTAATAGATCTCTTTCATTATTATTGAAGGAGAATCAATAGTATTACTTATATAAGGGGTATACGGAGCAATATTACATCTTATATTGGATAAATAAAATACATAAACAATATAAGATGTATATAGGGGCGGGGTGGCCGAGCAGACTAACGCGTGAGCACAGCACAGTTGTTGCCTGGCAACTTGATATATGAAATAATATGATTAATATAATTCTGAGTTCGCGTCCCAGCAGCAAGGGGGTTTTTTAACTCTGGTCTTAATCCCCCGCCCTTACCCCCTGGCCCGGGAACACCCCCGTGTATATTGTATAACTAACTTATTCATTATGAAAATATAAATCTACCTATTGTTGGCAGTTCCTATCCAGACAGTTTCTGTACTCCTCACATATTCGATAGCTGTGATCTTCATGCCATCAACTTGGATCTGCGTCAGAGCTTTCAACGAGGTCTGCCATGCTTGAGCTATAGATACATGAGAATCCTCTCCATCATAAGTACACACCCAGAGGTACCCTGCCTTACCACAGGCGCTGCTGTAGTAGCAACCACACATAACCTAGTTAAGACAAATCTTGTTATAAGACAGTAAAATATGAAACATAAAAAATTATCAAAAGACGCTAATAATTAACAGTTAAAAAAAGAAAGAAAATATTATGATTAATCTTGAATAAAAATAAAGAAAAACATAACATGGTGCATGTTAATAATATTTTTATTTTAATTTATTCTTCTAACCTCTGATTGTGGATGAGCAGTATATATAGGGTGAGCAGCGACAAAGAGTGGCATCTTCGTCGAAGGGCGCAGCTCCTGCTCTGGTACTTCCCATGCAGGTGAATTGTTAGGGTCCAGGGCAAGACGAGCCAATCTCAACTCTTAAAAAAGAAATTATCAAATAAAACAATCCAGTTTTCATCTTATCCAATGTATTACAACATATTGGTTTTAAAAGATTGTTATTTACCAGTTATCCACTCCTTTCTCGTCTCTTGACTATTCATTTGAAACGTTAGAGTCTCCTCTTTTCCTCGGAGTGATAATTGGAGGCAACAAGAATCTAACCATGCAAGTTGCTCATCTTTCCTTTGGATTTCCCGTTGTATACTGTCAAGTAATGCTCTTGTAATTTCCGGATTCATTTCCTGAACACCAATAATAAATTTAATAAATACAATAAGCATATAAATGAATCAAAGAAAATACGTGAATGGATAAATCTAAATAACAAAATAATCAGTGAGAAGCTTTTATAAGCAATAGAGAACAAATTGTCAGAAAACAAGAAAAATAGTTCAGGGGAAAGTATAATAGTTTTAAGCAATTCAACATTACAATGTGGAATGACAAAATGACCTTTGTAAAAAATAAAATGGGAGAGTAAAATTGTTGGGCTTAGTGATTAATGAATCCTAAAAAGGTTAATATTCGCTGTACTTTTAAAGCAGATCTAAAAAAATTCAAGTAAATTAGATTATGATATAAAAACATACCATCATCTCAAAAGAATGGAAATCCACCAAATTTTAAATATACTCCAAAAAAATACTTATGAGGTTTCTCAATACACCGATTCAAATAAAAAACAAAACATGCTATAAAAATATTTTAAAATCTAAATACAAGAACCAAAACTAAATATATATTTTAATAGCTGTATGTATATGTATTTTAATAACAATACTGACCTGGTATTGTGCCTCGAGGGTGTGAGTCAGGTCATGAATCCTCTTTATGACATCATAGTCATGGCGGAGTGCTTTCATTTCAAGACAGAGGCTGTCAGTGGTGCCAGAGCTGGTACTTGAAGCCAAGGAACCACTTGGAGTCAGCAGTCGACTGATGGTCGGGGATCCTGGGCTTTCAATTACCTGAAATTGGACAACTCGGATAATTTTAAAATGAAAGAATGAGTTATAGAACATTAATAAAAGCAGTTTCAAGATTATTAATTAAATTCAATATTACTTTAATAAGGATGGAAAAATTGTCAGTATGTGCAGTCAAAAATGTCTTTAATGAGTTAGCCGACGCTTCTTTAGTTTAGGACAAGGGTTCTTGTCTAGCTTTTAGATGATTGCTCTGATCGTGACCCACATGTTTAGATCGAAATGTTGGCTAACTCATTAAAGAAATTTTTGCCTGCAGACCCTAACAATTTTTTCATCCTTATAATTTCAACAGTCACCTATATACCCGTCTCTAAATCACTTTGTTAAACTAGGTTGATTTGTATTGTGCATCTGTAAAACATACATACCATTATGATGATAGATTGGGTAGGAGGGAACGATTAGTTTTTATTTAAATATCCTACAAATCAAGAATAGTTGAAAATTCTGGTTTCTTGAAAACAGGCCCCAACTCAAGTTTGAGTTGAGGAACATAAGCTGAACATTTGTCAAAAACCTGATGCAGTGGCAGATCCAGGAATGTTCTGAGGGGGAAAGGAGCACTTAAGAAACAGAAATGTATACATCAAAGGTGTGTGAGTTTATATGTTTGTATATGTATATATATATATATATATATATATATATATATATATATATATATATATATATATATATATATATATATATATATATACATACAGGGTGTCCCGTAAGTAGAGAGAAATATTTAAAGGTTGATATATATAGGCTTATATATAAAGGTTGATAGTAGAAATCAAGATCTAAAAAAAAAAAATTCATATAAACAATTGTCCAATTTCCAGCAGAAAAGTAGGAAATTTAAGATTCATGATTTTTGTTGAATAAGAAGCGATAACTTAAAAATATTGGATTTAAGTAATTAAACATTGCTCCACAGTAAACTAGACAAAATTTACTTTAAATGAAACTTGAGTTTGTGATTGCTAAAACTATTTAAATGGGACTATTGAGCGGACAAGCACATTTTATAAGCCTCAAGTCCAAATTGATTATGTTGAGGTTTATTAGAAAAAAAATTGAGATTCATGTGAAGTTGAGAAAAGAAATGATGTGATTTTCTATTGTGTCACCTAAAAGTAGCCGTGTTTTCAACAAAAATGTTTATAATTAATTGTTGCAAAGCTTATATTTATTGTTTTTCCGTATTATGGGATGTATTATAATAAACATAATTGCCTAAAATTACATTTTATTTATAAAAATTAAAAATAATGCTTTTTCAAATATTTTTCATGTAAGGTGGTTCTGAAATTTTTTTCTCTCCCAGATCTCCATCATAGGAATTGATTATTATTTATCAGTAACAAACTTACTGTTTCTTACTGAAATTTGTGTTTAACATTAAGAAACCTACTGATTGCTTCAATTATTTTCATGAAAACCTAAATATTTTTTAAACAGAATTTATCAGTGTTTGTCCGCTCAATAGTTCCCTTTAATTAATTTTAACAATGACAAACTCTACTTTCTTTGAAGTAAATTTTTCCTAGTTTACTATAGAGCAATATTTACTTATTTAAATCTAGTATTTTTTAAGTTATCGATTCCTATTCAACAAAAAATGTGACTCACATTAAAAACCACAAATTTTAAATTTCCTACTTTCCTGCTGGATTTTGGACAATTGCTTATAAGAAATTTTTTGTAGATCTTGATGTCTACTATAAATTTTTTAAATATTCCCCTCTCCTTAAGAGACGACACCACCCTGTATATATAAATATATCAACAAACAAATCTAAAGAAATTTGTACTGAATTTATTGAATAGATAATTGATGTCTATGAAACTAAAACACGACATTTTTTCATAATATTTTCCACAAATTCAATTAAAAATAGTTTCTAAGGGATCAGAGCACTCTAGCAACTACTTTCATTAGCAATATTCAGATATTTTACGAATAAATAAAGAATTGTTAGTGTAAATATACTGACTCTTAAAATTATTCGTTGTTTTTGAGAACAAAGTATAAATAAAAATTATTTGTTTAACAGAATTAACTTTTCAATTAAAATAATAATAATTAAAGTGTAGGGTTGTTTAGTAACTTTTTTCATGATAAAATATTTTTTCACACCTAGAGGAGAAGCGTACACCCTTCCCTGGATCAACAAGTGACCAATTATAAAGCTTCATTAAAGCCAATTGTATTTCCAATACTTAAGAAAAATATTTTTTTTATATGTTTGGATGAAGTTTATCGGATGAATCTAATGATTTCCGAGAAAACATCCATAACTTCATCTATCCACAAACATCTTCAATTTCAAATTAAAAAAACAAAAACAATAAAAAATTACAGTTTTTTAAAAATATATTCACAGAAATTGTTTTCTTATTTTTAATTTGGAAACCATGTTAATAAAAAAATAAAACAATAATAGAATAGAGCAATAGATCAGGATATTATGGTAATATAATATTGCAGGGCTTTCTTGATAATGGCAGGGAAGTAGTGAAAGTCTTGGGAGGTATGAAGCTGAATTAAACTGAATTAATTTTAATGGCAGGGGCTTTTTATAAAAATAACAAATCAATAAGTGAATTATATAAAAAAGCTTGCCATTACCTGTAGTTCAGTGATTGGGCAGCTCCATTTGTAAGTTAGCCTTGGTTGTGAATTAACATTTTCTTCTTTAGCACTGAGTGCAACGCAGACAAGTTGATCATTTAATAACAACAGTCGACGATTCTTACATTTACTGATTAATCCACACTGATTCACTTCCTGTAATAAATATATATTGACTTAGATAATGATAAATGCATTTAAACAAATTGATAATCAAATATATTATAACTATTTAAAAACTAAACAGTATAGTAAGGTCAGTATAGTTTTCTCACCGAATTCACCGACCTTTTCCATCAGTTAGAACAAAAATAATTCAAGAAGAAATATAAGAATATGAATGAATTTAACAAAATACAGAAAATGTAGGCCAATGCATACTTAAAACTTATTGATGCTTACATCTTATCTTTCAACACTAACTAGATCAAAAACATTTGGAATAAAGCCCCTTGCTGCTTTCAGGTTTGAGGGGGAAATCAAGACCACAAACAGTTTGGTTGAACTTCAACAGGAACGAACAAACTCACAAATATGTTATAATTGGTAATTGGTTGACTGTCGTGGATAATGAAGAGAAGAATAGTTGGGTGCTCAGTCAAAAAGGAAGGCAAAAATAAATTATAATATTTATTTTTTACATCTGCCGACGTTTCGACCTGAAGTTCAGGCCATCATCAGGGCTTTCTCTTAAAATGTCAAAGTGAGAATGAAGTCGTTACAAAGAAGGTGGAGAGAGTAGGGATGTGGAGGTGGCGTCATCTGTAACGGTTATCGGACGAAGCTAGAACTAGAAGAATGCTAGAAGCCTAGATAGTTACGAGAGATATATTATGTAGAAAAATTATGGAATATTGAATGAAAGTTAATAGAAAGTGAAAGTGAATATATATATATATATGTGTATATATATATATATATATATATTATATATATATATATATATATATATATATATAATATATATATACACATATATATGTATATATATACGGGAGTTGTCAGCAAAAAGGAAAGGAATATAACTATGGATGTTTTAATAAATTCAGAATTTGGCTATAGGTTAGAGAAAAGTTGTTTTTGTCAGTCTTAAGATTCACTGTCTTTGGTTGAAGCTGGATGTGGAGGGTTTCAGAAATGAGTCGTTTGTCATGGTTGAGAACAGTGGCAAGGATGGATGTTTTGTCGAAGTCAAATGAATGATTGAGGGAGAGAGAATGTTCGGATAATTTGGAAGCGGTGAAATTACGAGAGGATACAGAATATTTATGTTGGGTTATGCGGTCTTTTAGGAGATTTTTGGTTTCACCAATATAGGATGAAAAACAATTGGGGGTAGAACATGGAATACGGTAAACGATATGAGAGCGGTGTGAGAGAGGAAGAGGATCTTTTAGGGATGTGTATAATTTCGAGAGAGTGTTGTGAGATTTGAATGCAAGTCGTAAGTTAGGGTTAGTGGATCGTAAAACTTTGTTGATGTTGTCTGAAAGGTTAGGAATATAAGGTATAGATCTGTATATAGGGGCTGAAATGGGTTGTGGAGAATTAGAGAAAGTTGAGATTAAGGAAGAGCGATTATTGTGGTCCGTTATAAGTTTGTTAATGACATGGAGAGGAAAATATATATATATATATATATATATATATAATATATATATATATATATATATATATACACATATATATATATATATATATTCACTTTCACTTTCTATTAACTTTCGTTCAATATTCCATAATTTTTCTACATAATATATCTCTCGTAACTATCTAGGCTTCTAGCATTCTTCTAGTTCTAGCTTCGTCCGATAACCGTTACAGATGACGCCACCTCCACATCCCTACTCTCTCCACCTTCTTTGTAACGACTTCATTCTCACTTTGACATTTTAAGAGAAAGCCCTGATGATGGCCTGAACTTCAGGTCGAAACGTCGGCAGATGTAAAAAATAAATATTATAATTTATTTTTGCCTTCCTTTTTGACTGAGCACCCAACTATTCTTCATTCACAAATATGTTATTTTTTTTAGTCAGTACAAAATTTAATTTAAGTTTACTAATGAGTAGCAAGTGTCATGGCCGCAAGTGCAGTATAACTTTCACGTTGCTCTGTATTTGTTGCTTTGTAATGTGCTCAATATTCAAAGTTGTGGTGTAATACTTAATCAACAGTGAGTTAATAAACAGTTTTACACTTTTACGTTGACGTACACGCAGGTGAGGTACTATTTATTAACAATAAACAATTGATAAATTGGTGCTCATTTGGTTAGATTGAGAGGCCGTTAATTCCCTTACGTGCCTTATCATACTCCGATAAGTTCACGGCCAGGGGCTCTGTTTACTAACTTCCTTCAGTCATCAGGTCTTCAGTTCGAACCCAAGACATTATATTTACGTTTCCTTATTTTTTTTTCTTTCTTTTTTTTTTTCTTTTCCAGAGACTGTTTTATTTTTATTTAAATATTTATTCTAAGAAATGTTTTATTTTATTTCTGATTATAGTTATGTATATAGTTTATTTTTTAATAGCTTATTTCGTAATCTTCAATCTTTTTAATTATCATATTTAGGAGTAAATATATATATTTTTTTCTCTCTTTTATCATAATATGGAAGATATGAATTTAGATAAGAGTTCGTCAGGTGAAGATTCGGAGGACGAAACGCCGTTTTCTGAGGTTAGCGAAACACATTCGCAGTATTTAAAAAGACGAACACTTCAAAAACGTCATCGAAACACTCCTCCTGGGTCGGGAGCTAATTCACCCAATAAGAAAAAAAATAAATCAGCTAAACCTAAACAGTTAGCAGAGCAAAATAAATCTAAAAAGTCAACTGAACAAAGTAAATCTACTAAAACTAAACAATCAGCCGAGCAAAATATATCACCACCTCAAACCAGAAGCAAATCAATTACCATAACATCAGAGCCAACTGCACCAACCACCACTAACACCAATAATCCTGTTCCCGTTAATAAAATATCAAGCAAGGTTCCGGAGCCTCAAGAGTTTTCTGAGCCCGAGCCGCCACCTATTTTCATATCAAAAATCGATAACTTCATTACATTTGGTCAAGAAATAGCCGGTCTGATTGGACAGACCAATTTCCGCTGTTTCTCCAGAGTTAATGATATCAAAATAAACACAAACTCTCGAGAAAATTACAAAGCACTTATAAATTACTTTACGTCCAAAAACTATGATTTTCATTGTTATCAATTAAGACAAGAAAAGCCATACCGAGTGGTGTTAAGAGGACTACACTCAAGCACCCCAATATCTTTCATCAAAAGTGGCCTAGAAGAAATAGATCACAATGTTAGGCACATATCATGCGTACTACACCCAACGGAAAAATATCCTTTACCACTATTTTTCGTCGATTTAGAGCCTGCCAGCAATAACATCGAAATTTTCCAAGTGAAGAGGCTTATATATTCCACCATTAAATTCGAAGAGCCTAGACAAAAGCCTATAATAGTGCAATGCACTAAGTGCCAAGACTTGGGGCATACAAAGACTTATTGTCATCACCAGGCCAGGTGCGTGAAATGTGCCGGCCCCCACGCATCTGACACTTGTCAGAGACCTCGAGACCTGCCTGCGAAATGTGCCCTTTGTGTTGAAGAACATCCAGCAAACTACAGAGGATGCAAAGTTTATAAACATTTTTATAAGCAGAGAGCTCTGAACATTGCCTCGAAAAGCGTAAAACTGAACCAAGAAAGTGTCACCCATCTACCTGAAATTGATACTCTGTCAAATTTTCCTGAATTGCCAAAAACGTCTACTCAAAATACACAGCTAGTGACTACTTCAAAAGAAATTGATCAACCTCAGCAGGACTTTAGAAAAACACCAATCACCATGAAGAAGCAGCAGCCTCAAATTCAGGCGCCTCAAATCTCCCAATGCAAACCTCAATCTCACAATCCCCAATCTCATCCTCCACGTCAGCAAATTCTCCCTCATCATATACCCTTACGAGTCAAATTACCACCGCAGCATCCTCAACAGTCCCATCCTAACGCCCAGAAAAAAAGTGCAGCACAAGTACCTTCCAATCTAGACCCACCTCGTGCACAACGACGGATCCCGCTCTCAGCTAATACTCCTAATCCACCACAAGAACCTATCCTGAATCCAATTCACAATCAACATCCATCCGACCTAACCTCCATTCTATCATCCTTCCTATTGGACCTGCAAAATACTATAAAATCACTTATCACTCTTCTCACCAGAATCCTGACCGAAATTCCGTTCAATTTCCAACGATGAGCACAAAGCCCCTAACTATCCTTTTATGGAATGCTAACGGACTAAGTAACCACCGTGACGAACTTGACTTATTTCTTCATAATAATCACATTGACATTGCTCTATTGACTGAAACTCACTTCACTAAACGAATACATTTCTACATACGTGACTACTTCACTTATAGAACTGATCACCCAGACAACACCTCCCATGCCGGTTCTTGCATCCTTATACATAATTCATTACCCCATTCCCTTATTCCTTCTACTCCAACTGATGCCATTCAATCAACTTCCGTAGTCCTTTCAACTCGCCCTTTCCATCTCACATTCTCAGCTGTATATTGTCCTCCTGGTAATTCCCTCTCCTATAACCTCCTTGATTCCTTATTCAAATCCCTCGGATCGCGCTTCATTGCTGGAGGGGACTACAATGCTAAACACCAACGATGGGGTTGTCGAACATCCAACCCCCGCGGTAACATCCTATCACGTGTTTCATCTTCCAACAATTATTCAATCCTTTCGCCCATGAGTCCTACTTATTGGCCAACATCCCTCATAAAACGTAGCGATATCCTAGATATATTTATAACTTCTCAGATCTCCTCCCCACAAACCATAATCAAATCCCTTGATGACCTTTCTTCAGACCATAGTCCAGTTCTACTTTCACTACATTCGAGCTATGCTCCTAAACCATCACCTCCTAAATTGATCACAGGACGAGTGAACTGGGACCAATTTCGTGAAGATTTGGAAAACAAACTAGACTTAAAAATTCCGCTAAAGACAAAAGAGGACATTAATGGTGCCATTGAAAAACTGACAGCATCAATAACAGAAAGTATAAATAATAACACTTTTATCAATAAGTTCAACAATTCACAAAAGACTGACTTGCCGCAGCATATTCGTATCTTATTGAAGGAAAAACGCAGAGCAAGATCGAAGTGGCATAGAACCAGATATCCAACAGATAAAACTCACTATACCCAACTAACTAACAAACTAAAATCTGAAATTAGAAAATACAAGATTCAAAATTTACTAAACTTTACTGAAAAACTTACACCTACCGACAAATCACTATGGACGACCACTAAAAGGCTCCTGAAATTTAAAGACTGTAATCATCCACTTCTTACTGAAGCTCAAACCTGGTCCAAATCCGATGAAGAAAAATCACAAATCTTTGCTCATCACCTCTTTAAAACCTTTAATCCACACCCTGATATTCATAACCCAAATCACCTTGAATGTATTGAAGCAGAACTGGATATCCCACTCCAAATGTCTCTTCCACCTAAAGCCTTTCATCCTTCAGAAATATCCGACATCATTCAAAGGTTACCTTCCCGAAAGGTCCTGGACACGACCTAATTACATCCCAGATCCTAAAACTGCTTCCTCGGAAAGCCATCCTATTCCTTACGTATATATATAATGCTGTTCTGCGAACCACATACTTTCCTAACCCTTGGAAATTATCTATTATCAAAATGATACATAAACCCAAAAAGCCACCAGAAAACCCATCCTCTTATCGCCCTATCTCCCTTTTACCCATCCTAGGCAAAATCCTGGAAAAGCTCATCCTAAAACGCCTGCACCCCATCCTAGATTCTAATCACATTATCCCAGATCATCAATTTGGATTCCGCAGATCCCATTCCACTATCCAGCAATGCCATCATGTGGTGGATGTTGTCTCCTCTGCATTGGAGCGCGGAATGTTCTGCACGGGAGTCTTTCTCGATGTAGAACAGGCTTTTGATCGAGTCTGGCACCCAGGACTGCTTTACAAACTCCGTAAATTCCTACACCCTACATACTTCCTCATTATCCGTTCCTATCTAACTGATAGATCCTTCAAAGTAAATCATAATAATGCCTATTCATCCCTTTTTTCCCAGTCCGCTGGTGTTCCTCAAGGTATTATCCTAGGTCCTATCCTTTACACAGTTTATACAGCTGATATCCCAACCCATCCTAACACTGTTATTACCACGTATGCCGATGATACATGTGTCCTATCAATTAATAACCACCCAACAATTGCATCCCAAACCCTTCAATCACACATCACAAACCTTGAAGAATGGTTTCAAAACTGGAGGATCAAAATAAATTCCAATAAATCCCATCAAATCACGTTTACCCTTCGTCGTAAACCTATGTCCTCTTGTCCTACAGTATCCTTTAATAATACCCCACTTATCCCTGTTGAACAAATTCGATACCTTGGACTCCACTTAGACAGACGTCTAACTTGGAATCCTCATACCAGACTGAAACGACAAGAAACAGCTCGACGTTTCCGACTACTCCAGCACTTACTAGACAAACGCTCTAAGCTCCCAGTCAATTACAAAAGACTCATATACATGACTACAATAAGACCTATTTGGACTTACGGAATTGAGCTCTGGGGCTCCACTAAGCCATCGAATTCCTCTCGCATCCAATCCTTACAATCCAAAATCCTTCGTAAAATCCTCACAGCTCCTTACTTTGTCACAAACAAAATCATCCATAACGACCTTAATGTTCCTTATGTTTCTGACCTGGCCCAATCCAGATACCTTTCCTTCCATAATAAACTTCAGAACCATCCTAACCCTCTCGTTTCTAACCTTGCTTCCTTTTCGATACCTGACAACCCTCCGAGGCGTCTGAAAAGAAGATGGCCTCGAGATCTCCTTTTGTAAATACATTTTTAGAGTGCTACCAGTGGGTAGTTTCTCACCAAATGATTTCATGTTATTATATTCTATTGTACACATTTACTGAATGTATTTTTACTTGTAATACAGTTGTAAATATCATTAATAAATAAATAAAAAAAAAAAAAAAAGTTTACTAATGTACGATACATATACTAAAGGAAAATCGCACAACTAAGTGAAAGTTGTGGATGGGATATGGTAAAATCTATATTGAACCTTATCTATAAATAGACAGACATTGAACCAAATTTGATCCTTGATGTCTGAAACGTAAAACGCGAGTGAAAATTTTCGATTCTAAGACATTTTTTTCCTCTGGCGCGAATACAAAGCTCCCCTTAAAACCTTCGGTAGTATGGGAGAAAAACAGAGTACTCTCATAAATAATAATGAATAGAACTAAATATAATCAAATATTAATGATATAACTGCAAATGATAATTTTTGGGGAATCAGCGAGGAGAAAATATAATAAAAAAAATTCTGGTGTAGTGCACGCATCACACAACCATAACTTATGCTTAAACATAAGCATTTTGATGAACAACATTATTTCTATATTGTAATCCTATTGAATTAACTCTTAGCTCTATGAAAGGTATTGAAACGTTATTATTACCAGCTGAGTGACGTCGTCATGCCTGATGAGATACTTGGGTCCGGGACTAGCCGGCATCTTGGCAGACACCGACCTCATCATCAACCTAAATGCCTGTGCTTGCTCGGCTTCCCTCTTCCTCTCATTCAACAGCTCTGCCAGAGATTCCAACTGAGTCAGTGCCAACTGCAGAGCCATTCTTTCAGGGTGACCGGCTCCACAATTTTGCAATAGGTCCTATAGAATTTAGAATGAATTTTGAGTAAACAAGTAAAATAACAATTTACCGATAAGATTGAATATTTGTATGTATATATATATATATATATATATATATATATATATATATAATATATATATATATATATATATATATATATATATATATCAGAATCTAAACAAATAAACATCAGATAAAGGCAAACCATTTAGTAGGATACAGTCAGGACTTGATTGAGGAAGTTAAATAATTAGGACAATATTACTGCCATGAAGGCATATTTAAAAATAACAGTCGCATAATTGATTTGCTGTTTGAAACTGTTCATGTGAAATTACTGCTCAATCTTAAAAATTTTACTGTAAGAATATTTTAGATATTGTCCATTTTTCTCATTTAAATGATATAATACATTAAATTTATATTTATACTTTGTAAAAATAGAAGTGATTGATACATTATCAGAGGTTGAAACTTTTTAAAAAATTCCGTTGTAACAGTTTATGTGAAGCTTTTAAGAAAAAGAAGTTTTAAGGAACTTTGTTGTAATGAAGTTTTTAGGTTAATGGTAAAATTTCAACTTTTATTTATTTAAGTTCTTGAAAGAAAAATTTACTTAAAAGGAACAAAGAAACAAACAAATCATAATTTTTTAAAAATTACTTTTGTATCAATTGTCATAAATGAATTATCTTATAAGAGAAACAAACAGAAATTATGCTTAAATTACAGATAAAATTTGTCTTAAATGAATTATCTAATACATATATTTCCTTTGTTTGAGGAGTAGCTAAAAATGAACATTTAAATAATAGTTTTATTGTTGTTTTTTTTGTATAAAAATATTCTGTAAACTTTTATTTGAAACTTGGAAAGAGAAAAAGTTCTAGTTCTAAAAAAAAAAATATAATAAAATAAAATAAAGAATGAAATAAACAAATATTTTTACTAACAAGGAGAGTATGTGGTATGTCCGTAAATGATTTAAATATAAAATTCCTTGATGATACTACATTCAAAATATCGTTGTTTGTTTTCACACATGAAATGATGACCCATTTTGATTTATTCAATCTACATCAACGTTTCGGCCCTTCGACCATTTTTAAGGGAAGAAACCTTTAACAGATAATGTTAGTGTGGTAAAAGAAATAAAGTAGGACTGTTGCGATCAATTTTTGTTTTAATAATAATACAGATAATGCTTTATTTAATCTGGGACAAGTTCTTTTAGAATAATGTACAGAGATAGAAATGTGGGCTTTGGAGCCTCAGAGAGTCACAAAATAAACGGATTTATACAATGAATAAATAAAAGAAAAGAATATTATTTATCTTCAAACATCAATTAAGAGAAAAAAATGAAGCAAAATTATTTAAAACAAACTAATTATTTATATACATATTCACAACATCTATTTACAATTTTATGATGACTGAATGGATAAGAGGTGATTGAACAGGCGGGATTCAAAGGTGGGAAGGGTATTGGAGCGAAGGATTAAGGATGGGATAGAATTCGATAGGGATGTAGATTGAATAATGAAAGATCTGTCGAAAGCAGCTGTGCGGTGGGCCCTTATATACAAATCTAAAGACCAGGAACGGGTTTTGTGGGAATGGACGGACAGAAGATTTGAATAGAAGGAGTTCAGAGATGTATGAATTTGGGGGATCCAACGGGATAGGATGACTTGGAAGAGAAAGGATACTACGGAAATGCTTAAGGATAAAGCCATTTCAGCTCTTCATAATAACAGGAAACAGAGGGGTCCCTTGGGATCCTGAAGATGAATCGTACAAGACAATTTATCAGACGTTTTAGTTTCGCCTCGAGATCCCCGGGGACGTCCCCGTATACTGTACAGCAATAGTCGAAGTGGGGAAATACTAAGGAAGTAATCAGGAGTTTACAGGTTTCAAATGAAAATGGTGTGGAAATATCAGATACATGGTTTTTCTAGGAAAGGGTTTGATCAAAGGTTATTTCAAGGTTCTTAATAGAAATTGATGAGATTATCGTGTAGAAACACGGTTTGTATGTTAGGAACAGTTTTACGGAGGTGACTGAATCCTATAAAAATTGCCTTGGTCTTTTGGGCATTCAACTTCAACTAGTTCACATCCGCCCAGTCACAGATTCTATTAAAGTCTTCTTGAAGTTTTTTTGTGGCTGCTAATTATGTATTATTAAAATCTATAATGTTTATGTTTATACTTTCTATATTTAGATTGCAATTTTCAAAATCTAGATATAAGATATAGCAATTTCAGTAAGTTTTATATTTTTTTTCAGTTCTTAAGACCCATTGGATAAAGAGGATAATGTTTTTATTTATTACATCATACACTTTTCTAGTATGTATACTAATATATTGATTATTACCTGAAGAAATAGGATAAACTGAGGAAACCTTTGAACAGGTTTGACCATTAAACCAAAAAATGAGAGCCTGTCCTCTGAATTTGTTTGGCGGATCTGAAAAACATACATTTTAAAAAGAGGTCTATTTATTATTTTGTAATGTTTTTAAATCTACTAATAAATCAGAAATATACTCACCCTGAAAAACTCGGCTAATGCAGGTTTCTTTTTCGCCTCAGATCGAGCAAGGTCCATCGCAAATGAAAAATTATTGATGAAATCAGAATAAACATTGAGTACAACTGCCTTTGAGAAAGACGCAACAAAGACATCTCCTATCCTGTGCTGGACATCCCACTTGGCTACAGCGTCCCTCAGAGCAAGCCTAAAGAGCATATGGCACTGAAGGATCTCTGGCACACGATGGAACAAAGAAGATATCTTAGAAGGACTTAGGATTGCAGGACTTGCTTCTTCCAGTGGTTTCTTATATTCCTAAAATAAAAAAAGAACATATAGATAAAAATAACTTGGTTCAACATTCAAAACATATATTTATTTAAACATATATTTATGTATTGAAAGATATATTTGCATTTGTATAGCCAGTAATTTGGAGGCTTTCTGTTTTATTTAAATACAAAGTGGCATAGAGTAAAATGAGTATCAATGAATTTAATATATTTATTGAAATGGGAATCAATGTATTATTGTTAATGTCTAAATAATGTTTAAAAAACTTTATTCTTTAGCTTTAAATTGACACAATTATTTTTACTAAAGCTAATATGATCATCCATCCCAAATGATTTGGAACAGTCCCAATTTTTTAGAGATTCAATATGGCTAATACAGTTTAAGCTCAGTTGTGATAAGGAAGAGATAGAATGAAATAGTTTTTATTTAATATGTGAATTAGTTTAAATATGAAGAATTTGTACTAAAATGAATATACATAAATATCTATGAAGTAATGTGTAAACTGATGAATTAATTGTACAATTAAGAAATATAAAAAATATGTTTAATAATGCAATGGAAATTTGAAGGAATATCTTGTTTAAGAAAAAGCAATGGCACCCACAGAATTGAATATCTATAAATGGCTTCCTGGTATTTAGTTAAATTTTCATTGGAAATTCAGCTTAAATTTGTCTTTCATATTTTGAATATTGCTTCTAAATGAAAATCATTAAATGTAAAAGAAAGGTTTAACATAAGATAGACTAACAGCTGATCACTAATAATCTGTAAGCGGTGTGCGGTTGCAGGGCACATAGGTAAGAATTGTCCAGAAAAGATGAGAAAGATGGATCCAACGTGTGCCAACTACTTACAGGAAGGAATTGCAAAGAACAAGGCTAGGCATCAAGCAGATAGCACGAATGCCCAACACATATTCAGTAGTCACTGGAAGTAGTGAAAAAAAACTCATTATGAATAAGTTCAACATGCTCTAGTCGAATATGGGCTGCCGGTGCGTCATAGCAGACGAGCTTTACACTATGCTCGATAAGTATGGCAGTCCAAGAGCCAAGTTGCCCTGGGAACATGGCTACGAGATTTGACCTTACATCAAGGGTAATTGCTCTGACCAGTGGAGAGGAGGTCCAGGACAGCTATCGTGAAAAACAATGCAAACTTTGACATGATGGATCTGAGACAACACACCAGAGCGGATTGCGCTGCATACTATATCAGGTGGGTTATCATTGCTTTTACGGATAATCTCGATCTACCTATCTGATGGGAATAATGTAGAAAAAAGAAAAGCATTTGTTTCCATTATTAATTGTTTATTATTATGACAAGGATAAAAACAACAATTTTTAAGTCAAGATTTTTTGAAGAATATCCTTGTTCTGTTCATATATATTAATACATTTGAATTATTGTAACAAATAAATAAATGAAATAGGTACAAGTTATAGGATGAGAATTGGAGATAAAATACATACATTGACTAGCCTGTGAAGAGTGTCGAGGTATGAGTTCTCAGATTGCACGATAGCCTCAATTATGTGCCTCATCTTGAGCTGCTGAGGACTGAGGTGTGGAGGGGCTGGCGGTAATGATGGTGCACCTGTTGTCCTTCTCTGGCTCAAACCACATTCATCTTCCTGCAATAATAAACGTGTAATAGCATTAATAACTTATAATAGTCAATAGTAATTCATATTATATAATAGCTTACAATAATCAATAATAAACTCTGTCTATACACAGGGTGTTTACGGGAATCTGTTTTACTTTTGAAAAAGACAGAGAAAAAATAAAAGGTGAAATGCAGTAAAAATATTTTGTCATAATATTAAAAAATGTTATAAATGAATTAACTATGATGAAGACTAATTAATAAAATTATAAATCCAACTAAACTTGAGTGTGGTCCAAATATTAGAATATCAATGTCAGCATTGAATTGGCACAGGCTTAATGTTCATATTCATTTTCTGTACATATATTGAAAAAACAACAGAAAATCTTTATTTTGCCTATTTCAGTGGTAGGTATTTGGATCAGACAAAATTTTCATTCATTTATTTGACCATATAATTATGGCTCATTAACTTTTTCTAATATTGCAATTCATTAATTCAGTTTGAAATATATTTTCTTCATTTTAGAAAAATGTTTGGGGCTGTAAATTATTACTTTTACATTTTATTTCTTGATATAAATAAAAAAAGCTCTGAATGGAATGAATCGTTTATCACAATAATTGGAGAGTCAAGGAAGACAAAAACTAAATGCAAACCTAAAGCCTAGAACATATTCGTGGATTTGTATAATTAAAAATCTACTATCGTGAGGGTTAAATATTTTTTTGTATCTTGCAAGGGTTATAAGTTTTTTTTGGTCAATTTTAAGACAACAATCCTTATATTGATTTTTACAGCTCGCAGGGGGCCATAGAAAAGCTAAACAGAATTCCCTAAATCCAAAAAAATTGTCCACCGAAATTCTGATGGAACGTTAACCAATTCCGACGGATGAAAATTTATCTCGGAAAGAATTTATTCTGATTGGTGTTTAAATATTTCCTTAGCGAGCACAACTAGAAGAAAAAAAACTGATTTAAATTTTATTTTTGGTAATAATTTTTTGGAAAATTTCATAACTTTCTGACTGGTTATGAATGTGTTCAATCAGTTATAGATGATCAAAAACTAACTATCCTAGACTTTTTCAAAGCCTTTGATACCATCAACCATTCCATCCTTTTTTCCAAATTAAAATCATTATTCTTTTCTGACGGTTCTACTCTTTGGTTTCAATCTTTCCTTTTTCAACACACCCAAGTAGTAGCTATTCCCAATCAACCTTTGTCTTCCTTTCTTACTCTGACCTCAGGAGTGGCCCATGGCTCTCGCATATCGCCTCTTCTTTTTAGTTCCGACATTAACGACCTTCATAAATAAATCCTTCACTGTTCCTATCACCTCTATGGCGATGATTCCCGAATTTATTTTTCCTTCTCTCCCTCAGAGTTGCGTGATGTGTTTGCCAAAATTCAAGAAGACCTAAATTGGATCACTGCATGGGCAAACTTAAATGGATTAAGATTAAACGCTGCCAAAACTCAAGTCATTGTCATTAGTTCGAAACCGCTTCACAGATTCAATACCTCAATGACCATTCCATCACCTTCAGGTCTTCAGTAAAAAATCTAGGCATTTTCATAGACCAAACCCTCTCCTGGAATCACCATATTGCTCACATCTCCCGATGATTAATTGGTACCTTGAAACTATTACATCACTTCCACCATCTCCTACCTATTCCTAAATGTAGACCCCTCTTCCCTCACCTTGATTACGGCTGCGTGGTGTAAGGTGGCCTTTCGGCGGAATGCAAGGACAGATTGAAATGGATTATGAATGACTTGGTAAGATTTGTCACTGGAATCCCGAGACGTTCCCGTGTTTCTCCCCACTACGCTGAGTTAGGGTGGCTCTTCCCATCCTTCTAAAGACAATATTTCCTAGGCACATTCCTTTAACAAATAATGAATAATCATCTTCTGTCCTACGCACACAATCTCCTACAATGCAAGTCATCAATCCACACCCTCTCCACAAGATCTCGCCCTTCTGACCTTCACACCCCTTTCCACAGATCTGCCTCATTTAAACATTCCTTTGTTGTCCGTTCCATTGCAGTCTGCAGTCAATTCTATCCCATTAGAAATCCACAATGTACCATTCTTATCCACATTTAAAACCCACTTATTCCAATTCATCTTCACAATTCAATCAGACACTGGCTAAGTATTTATTATGTAACAAGGTTTTAATTTTCTTTATACATTTTTTTTCTTTCATTTGTTTGGGTATGAAACAGAATTTCCATCACCTTTCACAAAGCATTGTGAGTAGGTATAATTTTTTGTTTTGTTTTGTATTTTATTTTACTTAAAGTATTTCATGTTTTACTTATCTTCTACACACTCCTATCTATATGTATATATATATATATATATATATATATATATATATATATATATATATATATATGTTTATTACTTTAAATTTTTTCTCCTCGTAATCAATCGCTTCATAGGTAGACCACAATACTTATCAAGTTTTTCACAATATCTTTATGTATATTAACTTAAACTTCTTAAGGAACAGATGTAAATCATTCATTTACTCTATTTTTTAAAAAAATTTATGACTTAATGTCAACATTGAAATATTTTTTAAATTTATAAAATATTAATTAAAATATAAAAGTATATACTTCTGGTAATAGAGGCATTTTTCCTCTAGGTTCGGTCTCAGAAATCTGCTTCTTCATCGAGAACCATCTTGAGAGTCTGCCACCTCCGGGCTCTGGAGAGTCGCCCCCATGTCGCCAAGTACATCGCTTAGATCCTGCTCTACTCTTCCCGTCAATTCCTCTGTAATGAATCATTTTTAATTTTTAAACTGATTAAATTGTATATTACTATTAATAAGAACTAATATTACTATGATTTTATTATATCGAAGGTTCTTATTATTTACTATATTATAAGTTTTTGGAATTACAAAATTTACAAAAGATTACAGGAAATCTACAAACTTTAAACAATGTCTTTTTATTTATTCATCAATTTATGATGAAATTTCAAGAAATTTTCCTTTTATTTATTTGTATAGTTCCAAATTATCTCATCCTATCAATTATTGTCAAGGTTTATTTTATTTATTTTTTTTAAAGGTTATTATAAACTTCATACTTTGTTTTTTGTCAGTTATTACCTTTACATCATTTCTAAATCAGTAACATAATAATTCCTGTAAACTATTGATGTAGCTAGTTTCAAACCACTTTATTAATTCTATAAAACAAAACAATCTGTAAAGAATAAAATTTATAATAATTTGTTTTTATTTTAGCTATAATTTTAGTTTATTTCAACAAAAATAAGGAGGAATCCCATTACATAGAAATCAGAGAAATTAACAGATATAATAATAATGATGTTGTACACCTCCTTAAAATGCAAATATGCAGAAAAATGGCAATTTCAAGATTTAATGCAAACATCAGAAAAATAAAATAAAATAAGTTTAATGAAAAAACGTTTGAATTTTGGGACGAAATGCCAATAATTAATGAATAAATAGATATACTTTGATATAATTTTCTAAATTTCAGAAATTTATATAGAAATTCATAATATAGTTTCTATAAGCAGAGAAAAAATATAGTAACTAAACCAATAAAATGACCATAAATAAAAAAAAAATAGCTCTTACATTATTAGTAAAATCGCATTATACTTGAAAAATATTTTGTTCAAATGTAATAAGCAAAACTATAAGAAATAATCTCTTTATGCACTTTTAATAACCTCTTATACATAGTGCCTTTTATCTGACATACTAATCAATATAGATTCTTTTTTTTTTTTATTTTAACTAAAGACTTATTAATGAAACCAATAATTAAAGAGTAATAATTTTAATTATTACAATATAAATACAAAAATAAATAAAATATAGCGTTAAATCTTAAAAAATATAACTCATATTAATTACATCATGCTAGGAGATCTTCAGAGACAATTATTGTGTGATATTACCATAGTCCTTTTATATGTGATACAACAAACAGAAAAAACACAAGAAAGATTGTTAACATCAGGAACTGACAAATGAGAACTGATGCGTTGGCACAAAACAAACTGTAGATCTATCCTGCCTGGCTAAATGAACAGTTGGTAATTGAATATATCCTCATTATGAGCAATTAATTTACATGCACACACATATACCACCCATCCTATCAACTCATAATTGGACGACAGGAGCTAAACGAATATTGACCTTTCAACAATTTCGAAGCTCGCTGATAAATTGAAAAAGTTAAAAAATTCAATTCAATATTCTTTAAATATATTTGCAATTTAGTGATACTTTATATATGTATATATGATACTTATATAAATACATTATGAATTTAATTTAAATCAATTAACAACATAATAAATACTAAGTCGCGAAATTAAATTTACAATATTTTTTTAAAAATATTCATTAGGATTAAATTTTTAGTTAAATAAATACTTTAAAAATAATAATAGTTTATTTTTAAAATATGACACATTTTACATACCACTTACTCATTGACATTTGTTTTATAGTGTATTATTTCTATTTCTAAAAAATATATGCGGAAGTAAATTGGTTTCCTAATGCTCGTTATGTAATGTTTCATGATGCTCGAGGTGTTTTGCTTTTAGATTAAACTATCTTGAAAACTAAAAATCAAAGCTATATAGATACTGTAAGTGAAGGAAATGTTTGGCATTTCATCCTATTTTTAATGGGCTATGATTCTAAGTTGTATAGAGTAAAAGATAGCGCAAAAACTGGAATGATAACGAGTTTTTGAACGGGGATTTTCAGATTCGTCCATCCCATATTACGTTAGAGATATTTAGTTTCAAAGTGGTCTTGTCTTCGCTATTTGACGATAGTTGCGTAAAAATTTCAATTTTCAAACCGGATTAATAATATGGTTTCAATGGTATGAAGATGATACCTATAGATTTTGGTTGAAATCCGATCACCTATCACAAAGAGGATGAAATGCTGAACATTTCCCTCACTTACAGTATATAGCTACGATTTTTAGTTTTCAAGATAGTTTAATCTAAAAGCAAAATAGATATAAGGTATAAAGTGCAACAGAAAATTATAAATAAAAAATAAAGTAATTATATATTTGTTTATAAACCAAATTAACAAAGAGGGTAAAGCCAAAGCACAATATATATAGATGACCATACATATACTCCCTAATGGACAATACCGATTACAATAATATTAAATTATTTCAATACTGCTATGAATTCCTTTCATAGTTAAAATTTTTAATTAGTTGATTAGTGACAAACTACGAAATTCATGACAGATACTTAAAAACTAATAAAATTATTAATTTGAAATAAACTTCGAAGATAATTAAATAAATTTTTCATCACTCACTTGTTACTTTCATCGCCAGATGACAAATCCACATCTGAGCAAGAACTCCTACGTGAATGGGAATGTTCGTGAGAGCTCTCCTCCCATGAGTTACTTGAATTACACCTGGGCTCATCTGTTAGACCAACAATACAATTTCAATTAATATCGGGACAGCATAACAGAGTAAACAATTAACAATAATGATTACACTCCTTAAAAAATAATATTAATAGGACAATAATTTTGGTAATAAATTCAAATTTATGTTTTTACTTTATCAATATTATTGAAATTTTGTGTTAAAAAATGAACTTGAAGACAAAACAAATAAAGTCCATAGAGAACTATATAAGGAATATGTAAGAAATCATTTCACCATTCACCAAAAAAAGGGAAGAAAAAAAATAATCAAAAATTGTGAAAGGAATAGGAAAAAAATAAAACAGAAATCTCAGGATTTTTTGAAATCCAAAACAAGATTTGTGAATCTACTGCTTATCTCTTATATTATCCATTTTATCTGTTGCTGATAATAATCTGGGGTTAAAATTAACTGAAACTGAAATTGTAAATATTCATTAAGAACGAAAGCCAATATTTCATTAGTCTAAACATTTTTGTTGAGTAGAGAATGCCTTCATCATTGTATTTTAGAGGAACAATATTTACATTGCACAAAGCAAGTATCGTGTTACAAAATAATCATAATAATGCACTTAAATGAAATTTGTAAAAAAAATATTGATGATAGATTTAAACTGAATAAAATGAATTTTATTTATATAAGGCTGTATGTTATCAGTATGTAAGACTGGTCTCTTTCCTCTCAGTAAATAAAATATTATAAGTTTGGAATTCACTAAATAATGAAATACAAAGCATATCTTATAGTTTAAGCACACTAAGAGGTATAATAGGAAATATATGTTAGATCATAACAATTAAGTCTCTGAACAAACTTATTTTTCTTGTATTTAATTTTATTCTTTTTTGTAATATATGTAATTCAAAATTAATGACCACCTTTAGTTGGCCATAAATTGGTTAGGTACTTAAATAAAATAAATATTATTAGTCAAAATATAATAATTAAACTAAGATCTCTTCAAGAGATGTTAAAGAAGATATTTAAAGTTTTCTTTTAAACAAGCTATTACAATGTGTCCATTTAAAAATATTAGCAAATTTAGTGAGAGAAACTAATTAAGTAATGATAGTAGGAAATGTTTACTGCAACTATAAACAGTTTTTATGTATAATATTTATAATCCATATTTACATACAAATCAGATTAGAATTTCTTCAATCATTAAGCTCACAAACAATTATAAAGAGACAAGGCCAAACAAACCTTCAATTGTACTCCAAGAAACTATTAATTAGTTTACATAATCACTGAAAGAATCATAATAATAAATTGTTTTATTAGAATGTTTACAAATATGATTAATGAGGAAAGTTGATAAAAATGTTTCTGTAAAATGCAACAGGTGTTTCTAACATGTTATTATAAAAACCAACAAATCATATCATTAAAACCACATCTATATATGAATAATGAACTTACAATTATAAAAAATAATGGTACAATGAAAAATTATTTTTAAATATTATAATAATCGTATCTTAATAATTATACATTGTTCTTCAAATTGGTAAAGCTGATATGAGAAAAAGTGCCAATATTAACAAGGAATTAATTTATTTCAATGCAAGAGAATAGTAAAATGTTAAAATACAGTGAAGGAATTGAATTTAAAATTACCTGACTTCGGCATATCCTTTAAGTTGCCGGTAATTTAAGCTTTCTGAGACGATATAAATTAAATATAAACACTTATAAGAAGATAAATAAAGAGATGACATCGGTCGCAATAAGAATAATTAAACAAAGTCCAGAGAGATGAACTAAGCGAAGAAACCCAACGACAATACTAAGTGACTGCTGCTCTTGCCCCTCCAGCTCCAGTACCGGGTACACTCACGTCACATACTAAACTGTATTAACTACCACCTTCTACAATAACTACCTTAGATCTACACTCTATTTGACTTTAAAATTATAAATAAACGCTAAAATCTTTATATTTTTTTTTGAGAAGGAAGGTTCACACCAACGGAAAATAAATGCAAATTCTCAATTTAATTACTCTAATTGAGATGATAAGCTTAGTAAGTACTGCTTAGTGTAGAGAGAGAAGTTTTATTTTCGTCTAAAAAATTAAAATAACTGTTGTCTTTAGAATCGAAAGTATTCGATCAAAGGGTTGTGCGAGAGTTCTAGATGATTTCATATAAATTTTATCAACAACTTTTGATTACGCATGCGCAAACTTTTTTCTCTTAAAAGCTAAATTTCAAAAACGGATCCTCAGATTTCAGACGAATTTAAAACTGATGCCATATGAAGTTTATCTAATTCCAACTATTTTTGTGACGCACTCGCAAATATCTGTTCATTGACACATAAATTATCAGAAAGCCTACACAACTCAAAATTTAACTTTATGTGAGCATGTATGTATATATACATCGCTGCTTAAGAACACTGAAACAACATAAACATAAACGATTTTACACTTTTGCATAATTATAATAGAAGATTATGTTACGTAAAATTAAAAAAATAATAATAATAATTTTTGAGTGGTTCCGCTATTCTTCCAAGTAAATCTGTAAAGATCTGTATTTCAAAAACAAATCGTTATCCTTGATATTAGAAAAAATAGGTAACAAATAGATACGGTGAAGAAGCTACACTAACCCTGATTGATAGATTTTTTTTTTAGCTTTATAAACATGTTTAGCTTTATGGTTGGTTTTTATAAATAGTACGATAATCTTGAAGATAATTGGAAAAAAAAAAACCTTGAGTATGATTATAACAGAAAGTCTTGATGAACTGGATATGAATAGTAATAACAATAAAAAATATATATATATAAATAATAAAAATAGACTGATTAACTTTTTCATGACTGGAATTGATTTATTAATGCAATATTGATTTGAAAACCATTTGAACCAATTTTTCGAATCGCATTTTATTTAAAACCAATTGCACCCTACGTTTTCAACAGCTCTAAATTGGTAATATATGTATACACATGTCTGTTTCATGACATGCATCTGATAAACTGAAGAACATCTGAAATTAACTGGAAAAACGAATTACCAATCATAAATAAAACACTGATCATTTTAACTATGGAAATTTTCAGGGACATATGTTTTTAACTCAATGCGTATTTAAAGAAATTACCATATCCTTTAGTTATTTTCCCCAGGTTTAGTAATCTATTGAAAAATTTATGTAAAATTAATGCGGAATTTGAATTAATCTCGTCCCTGCTTTTAGAACTCAATAAAATGAAAGGTGACGCGCGTAAACAATTAATTCTAACAATAACTTTATGTATGAATTTTTTCATTGAATCTTAAATAATTCCTTTTTATAATCAATGTGTTTATTTCTTTATAGGATGTCATGAAAGAAAAGGAGAAATCATTAAGAACAAATAAAGTTTTCAGATATAGACGGTATAAGAAGGATACAGAAGGTTCAGACATTAAAAACCAAAAGAAACATGCACTTAAAAAAATGAATTGAGGTCATTGGCTGAGTGTATAAGGTAAGTTGAGAAATAGCTGAGTGAGTTAGATGACTTTTTGCAGACAGCGCTTGGAGTATAGTGACGTGGTGGGGGAGAACAGCTGGTCGTTTGACCTGTACGCTTTGGGAAAATTAAAATAGTCCTTCTTTAGCAACCACTGCTCCAACAATGTCTGCACCTATTTCCGAACTAGAATTGATCAAACAAGGACAATACTAATGCCTCGTTTACACATTGAAAGTTACTGCGATAGTTATAGCATCAACTGTCGCAGAAGCTATTGTCTCGTTAACTACAACGTGTAGAAGTCTACTGATTAACTGTCGCACCTTATCTAAACGGATTATTTTTCAAAATAAATGTACTAAATAGGTATTTTATAGTCGTTTGTTGCAATGCCATCTAGTATTTTGCAATGTATTCTAGACATAGATTACAATAAATTTTCATGGGTTTTTTGCTATTTTCAATCTGTGCGATATAAATATAGGCTTAATTTTTCTAACTCCAAAACGCACATATGTTATAGAGGTTATGGAATTTTTAAATTAATATCAGATATTTCTCACATATTTATGAAAATAAAATATAAAAGATACACCTGTAACTAACCCTTAATTTGAGAACTAGAAGGAATCACAGAGTATACTATTTAGTTCAAAAACACGGTGGTACTTATGAGAGATAAATGAAATGCTTATTATTTGAGTGCCAGCACTCAAGACAAAATTCAAAAATCACGTTTTTGTCAGATTGTGTTCCTTTGCAAACATGAAAGAAACAGCTTATTTAAGAAGATTAACCATAGTATTGCTTGCAATCAGTTTATTGTGCTCAACTTTAATTCAATTTAAGAAATCATCATTTTGGGATTTCAGTAAATATCTCAGAAACTCTATTTCTTATGGTTAGGTTATGATAATTATCTTTGTTTTATTACCGAAGTTTGGGAAGGAAAAGCTGAAAATCAAAAATCTGATAAAAAAATTAATTTAGTTTCATGTCTGGAGTGAAATCTGTGTTGTCGGAATTACGCTATTATCTTTAATCCCCTTTTTTTGTAGCTAGACAGTTCCTTACTAAATTCATCAAATACCATCTAATACTCTCCCCCCTCCTCCCTTAATAATTTAGAACACGACTCTCTTTATTCGGCCCAATGTTGAAGGAAAGGTTTTTTTTTTTTTTTTTAGCTTTTTTTTTTATCTAAGTGGAGACACTACAGGCTAAGGAAATTATTACCTCCTTCAAGAAGATGAAGAAAATATGAGATGATAATAGTTGAAATGGTAATGAGGGATGTAATTGGTGAGAGAACTTTAATATCAGGAGCTGGTCATCGGGTTTAATGTGTCCTCCACTTCTAGTCATCCTCTCTTTACCTTCTTCAAGACATGTTTCAAGTTCTCACCTCCTATGACCAATTCTCATCATGAGTCTACAACTTTTATCTTATTCTCTCATAAAAGACGAACAACAATTAACAAATCTAACCTAGAGCTAGTTTTCATATTACATTATGTCATTCTTACTAAATGAATTTGATAGAGTGATCAAAACGAAAAACTAGAAATAATAATATTATATATATACAGGATGTCCCGTAAGCAAAGAGAAATATTTAAAAGATGAATAGCAAACATCAAAATCTACAAAAAATAGTGGATGATACAGACCCCTTTTTAACAAATTAATAACATCCGCCAGAAACTTTGCGAATAGCTTCATTTCACCGTAAGAAACAACTATTTTATTTATGAAAACTCTTGGAATTGGAAGGTTTTCAATATAGCAAACCATGTCTAACTAAAAACTCGTAAATACCCATTTGCTTTTCACTTGGGTTCTAAGAAAAATCCAAACTTCATATTTTTCCATTTACAATATAATTATCTTATGTCTCTGTTCTAGCTTTATATTTATTATATGTATATATTTTTTTCTTTCTTTTTTTTTGTTACTAACTTTGTTATTAAATATAATTTTAGAATGCTGATTGATTAAAGTAATTTTCTAGATAAAATATTTTCTTTCAAGGAATAATCTACACTACATATAGTACATTCCCGGCTCTCAGGAGAGATGGATTTTAATGAATGTGGTCTCAAATTAAATAAATTTAAGGGTGAAGTGACGAACTACAATAAAAGTCATTGAAAACATTAAGAGGTCACAAAAGTCAATGGATTGGGACTAGAATAGTTCTGTAAAATATATATTCTATGGGACAGACCCCTCTACCATGCACACCCATCTACCTCACACCAATAAATTCTATATCAATGTGTTCGTTGTAACTATTCATTGAAAATAAAAACAATTTTCTCACAAAAAAAGTGGCTGCACTACCCCAAAATGGCGCCCAAACATGGCGGACTGACGACTTTGACTAGAGTTAGTTTTTTTTGTCACTGAGAATCAGCATTTGGTTTAATTTCGTAATAAATAACTTTTTATTAAAGGTGGACAGTCCTGAAAATAGTAAAAAATGAAAAAATATTTACTCTAGACTATACAAAAAAGTAGTATAGCCTATATTTTTTAGTATGCAATAATTCCATTGTAAAATTCTTAAAGGTTCGTTAAATTGAATGTACTTTCCGAGAGCCTTATTAATACCTGTTACAAAACTAAAATCTATACTTAATCTGAATTGCATATAATGAATAGTTACCGGGCTGTTAAATAAAAAGCATCGATCATTAAGAAAAAAATAATTTAATTTTTTAATGTTTTATTTTTATTTTGTTATGTTCTGAGGTGGAGCCATATAATAAACAATTAGAAAATTTTAATAATGATTCTCTTTGCAGAAAGATATATGGAAATAGTCATCACTCACCGCTTAATGTTCTTCTAGGTAACCTAAGATAATTTTTAGTATTTGGTCTCACAATGGAGAGAAACGCGATAGTTTCGACGCTTGTTTGGGGCAGTGCAGCCAATTTGTTTTGTAGGAACATTGGATTTTTTTTAAATAAATAGTTACAAGGAACACGATATGAAATTTATAGGAATGTGGGGAGGGAGAGAGGTGCCCACCATGTACTATAGGTCCTGCGTTTTAAATTCCAAAAATGTACTGTTTTTGGGCTTACACATCTTCGCTGACTGTTTGTCAAATCCAATGATTGAGCTACCATTTTTACTAATATGAGGTTAACTAATATTAATGGAACTTGGATTAAAAGCAAAAATTAAAGGTGGGGATTACAGGTGATTATCATTACAGGGCGTAGTAAGGTTGGACGGTGTTAATGGAGGCCGCAATAATTCTCTATGTTTTACCGTTGCTATTTTTAATCATTAATCAATTGATTAATCACTAAATGCATACGCCCACATACTTTAACTAAATTCTAATAATTTTCAAATTGTCGCTACTTAAATAATTAATTATTAATTAATTCTAGCACTAGTTAAATGAAGACTGAGTACACATCAATTGAAAATAATAAATTTACATAAAATTATAGAAACTTACTAAAACTAGATTTGGTCGTTTCTGGGGGACACAGTCGTTGCTCGGAGGTAACGTGAGGGCATTCTGAAAATGAAAAAAAAAAAAAAAATTAGATAATTAGAGACAACATTAATAAAACATATGACAAATAATTTAAACCTACCTAGTTAGAAGAGAAGTTTTTTCCCGGCGGTAAAAAAAAACAACTTTAAAGTGTAATAAATTGAATATTTGATTATTTATTACAAATTTAAAAATGTAAATACAAGCAATAAGCGAAAAAAAATAGAGAAGCTAATTAAAGAGCGTGAAGCGTGACAAGCGATTATTTTTATTGTATGATATAAAACGAGGGTAAATAAAAATACCAATTTCACATCAAATTTATCTTTATTTTATTTTAATAAATAATATACAATGGACAATAATAAATTTTAATGATAAACAGCAATAAGCAAGATAATCATTTGGCTCAAAAATGCAATCACATCAATTCCAATATCAAATGTGCATTTTGAAGAGTTTAAATGCATTTTAAATCTAATCTCTTTTTGTTATACTATTCAACGAACAATAACAATTTGAAATATTTTATAAAAAAATAAAATTCTAAAATTACAATAAAATTAGAACAAAATGACATTTTTAAGCGTAAGAAAACAAAATATACAAGAAAAAGAAAATAAAAAAAAAAGGAAAAAGATAAACAACAAAAAAAAATATAAGAGAAAGGACACTGCTTCCTCAGCCTAAATAAAGTAATCTCTACTTAATTCATTAAAAAACAATTTTTTTTTTTGTTTTAGTCTTCTTTAGATTTTGAAGTCTATCTTTTTCCTTCTTTGCTCGTCAGCTCTGACGGTAGTTCCGCATTTCGATTTTCTTTTACAACAAGCTAAAACAATATACAATTGCTTCAGTATCAACGTAACCGAAAAAGTCAAATTAAAATTTATTATTATATTAATAAATCTGATTTTATAGAAATGATCCATCTTCAAATTTTCACCTAGATTACAACGATAGTAAATTTTATATAACAGTAATACAATATAAGAATAATAGGAGAAAAGAATTGAAAATGATTCATTTTGAAACTGGTGTAACTTACGCGTTATACCAATTCCAGGCGGTTTCTTAAAAAAAATAAAGATGTTTGCTAGACTACTTTAGAAAAATTGAGACATTTATGATATTTTGGTAGATCAAAAATAATTTTCGAAACAACAATTGGAGAGAGGGTATTGAAGGATTTTGACCTATTTTTATTGTTTGCAGACATGTTTGGTTTAAATTGTATTGTGCTTAATATAAATCAAAGGCTTACTTATTTTATATGTTTGTGTTAATTTACTATATATTGAAAAAGTTATCAATTATCACTGAGTATTTCTTAAAGTAGGAATAATAGCTTAGCCTATTTTTTATTTTTTGTTTTGTGCTTATAAACATATAAGAAGACCTCCTATGATACTGTTGTGACAGTAAATTTCCCTTTAAAAACCAGGCTTTCTTAAAAATTTGGAAATTCAGCAAGAGTCCTATTGTACTAAATACCTGTTTCATTCAAATTTCAACTTTTAGATTCTACTTATGTAAAACTTGTACCATTAATGTGAGGAAGTGCTGTTACTATGTCAACGGTTGTGCTGTTTCCAAGATGCCGCTCAACTTATAGGTCGACTTATTTTTTATTTTTTTTTTTTTATTTTATTTTATCTTCTAATCACAAAATATCACTTTTACCCTTCTACGTGAAACTTGCCCCCCTATTTACCTTGACAATATCCAAATTCCTCAGACAGACAAAGTTCAATATCTTGGACTGACCTTTGACAGAAGAATGACATGGGGCCAACATATCAAAAACAAAACAAAAACTTTAAACCTAAGACTACGCCTATTGTACTCACTCCTTGCAAGAAATTCTAAATTAAAACTTAGACAGAAATTGAATACATATACTTACCTACTCAAGCCTATTTGGACCTACGCTTTACAGATATATGGGACAGCCAAAAAGACTCACATACGTAAATTACAGACTTTTCAATCTAAAACTTTCAGGACTATTACCAAAGCTCCCTGGTACGTCAGTAACATTACTCTACATAAAGACTTACAGATGCCAACAGTTAACGACCACATACGAACATACTACAAACGATTTCATAATAACTTACACGGACATACAAACTCATTGATTCGAGGCATGGCCACAACTAACATGCCCGATAGCACCCGAAGGAGGCTTAAAAGAAGCTGGATGAGGGATCTCCTCCACTAACTAGAAATATTACGCTCAAGACAGGAAGGACGCCGCTGGGTACTCCTCTCCCTCACGCCTATTCCAAGACCAATCTCTTCATCTTGACATCACACTCGCTGATTGTCGGAACTTCTGACAGGTGTGAGTTGAAGAATCAAGTCAAAAAAAAAAAAAAATTTTTATCTTCTTGATTATCTTATGTCTTCTTGATTGCTCCATAGGACAGCTACATCGTCTACGTATCTAAGAAATTTATGATTCATTCCTACGTGCACTCCGGCCCACGAATGTCCGTTTTCATGAGACATTCTTCCCCATTGCAAGATTAAAAGCATCAGCGAGAGTCCATCTTGCTCCATCCCCAAAATAAACTAATTCTAAAGATGGTCCGGGGTTGCGGTCATAAATAGGCCAAATAGTGGTAAAACTATTTTATTGAAAGCCGACGTTTCGATCAAACTTTGCAGGTCTTCTTCAGGGAGGTGTGTTCAGCTAGGAGTTTCACTTAGAACTGACTCCTAGCTGAACACACATCCCTGAAGAAGACCTGCAAAGTCGGGTCGAAACGTCGGCTTTCAATAAAATAGTTTTACCACTATTTAGCCTATTTATGACCGCAACTCCGGACCATATCCTTCGTTTATAATGCAACGGTCAATTATTAAATATTCAATATAAACTAATTCTAGTTAGTTCTCTATTACTGTTACCTTTCTACCTACTTTTTTTTTTTTTTTTTTTTACTTGATTCTTCAACTCACACCTGTCAGAAGTTCCGACAATCAGTGAGTGTGATGTCAAGATGAAGAGATTGGTCTTGGAATAGGCGTGAGGGAGAGGAGTACCCACCCAGCGGCGTCCTTCCTGTCTTGAGCGTAATATTTGTAGTTAGTGGAGGAGATCCCTCATCCAGCTTCTTTTAAGCCTCCTTCGGGTGCTATCGGGCATGTTAGTTGTGGCCATGCCTCGAATCAATGAGTTTGTATGTCCGTGTAAGTTATTATGAAATCGTTTGTAGTATGTTCGTATGTGGTCGTTAACTGTTGGCATCTGTAAGTCTTTATGTAGAGTAATGTTACTGACGTACCAGGGAGCTTTGGTAATAGTCCTGAAAGTTTTAGATTGAAAAGTCTGTAATTTACGTATGTGGGTCTTTTCTACCTACTTTGTTTTACTATAATGTTCACTCTATCTACTTTATTTTGCGTTAATTTGTTCTACTAAAAATTATTAGTCTTTACCTATCACCCTTTTTTTAAAATCTTGATTCTGTGTTTTTCAATGTTTATTCTTTGTTATTATACCTGTTGTTATCTGGTTCTTTTGCCAGCCCTGATGAAGGCCTGAACTTCGGGCCGAAACGTCAGCGAATGTAAAAATAAATAAAATTATTTACATATTACCATTTCAATTTGACTGAACACCCCAATTATCCTTCTCTTCAATTAAATAATAACATTCCTAAAACATCAAGGAATGGATCAACGAAGCAACCCTTGCTGAATTACTTAAAATGTTTGATCTCTATTTGAAATTTAAAATCAATACTGATGATTATAGAAAATATTATATTTAGCTGCACTGAAGTGCCATTAAATAAATTAAAGAAACAGAAATACTAACATCCTGAAAAAATCATTTATATAATTGTTTTGTGAAAAAATATATTTTTTACGACAAATATTAGAGAAAAAAATAGAATAGAAAGGTGTTGTTCATCAGCTTTATATCGACTTAAAAAAGGCATATGATTCCATTGACCGCCAGAAGCTCTATAACATTCTAATCGAGCGGGGAATCCCCCCAAAATTAGTGAATCTAATTAGGATGTGCTTGACAGAAACACCCAATAAAGTTAGAATCGGATATTATTTATCTGAGAAATTTTAAGTTCGTTCGGACTTAAAACAAGGTGATTCTCTTTCACCTGTCCTGTTCAATTTAGCATTAGAGCATGCCATTACAGAGGTGATTCATACCGAAAAAGGTTTGAACCTGGGTAGAACAATATTCTTGCTTGGGTATGCTGATGATTTGGTACTGTTGAGCGAAGACATGGAAACAATAAAACTAAATACAACAAAGGTGATGAAAGCCGGTAAAGAACTAGGACACGAGATAAATACGGATAAGACAAAATATATGATTAGCTGCAAAAATAGCGATAATTTCGAGGATATCGAAATAGAAGGGAATGTGTTTGAACAGGTACATAATTTTATGCATCTAGGGTCTACTATAAATAGAAAAAAACGAAATCGAAGATGATATCAAGGTTAGGTTGAAGGCGGGAAACGCTTGTTATTTTTGTTTGTCAAAACTATTTAGTTATCGCCTACTGTCCCGAAACTTAAAAAATTAGAATTTACAAAACCATTATCCTTCCTACGGTAGGATTGAAGGTATTGAAGTACTGAATACGAATACCTTCAGTGCTCGAACCACGCTCTGATGATGACCCACATGTGTGGGTTGAAACGTCGGCACTAATAAAAGTTTTATAATGACTATGTCCGAATTATTTATCACCCATGAAATGTATAACACTCAACTAATTTCCTTCAATAATATATTATTAAACAATTGTATTCATTTTAATTGTTAAATGAAAATCGATCCTAGAACATTTGTACATTGTTCCCAAAATTTCCTCTGATTTGGGCCACATAATACGAGCCATTTTTATTATACAGGCATATCATAATTTGTTTGCGCATTCGAAAACAGAACAGGAGAACGAATTTTGATGAAATTAATTCTAGGACCATCTAGACACGCACAATTCTTAAAAATAAAATTAACGGTAGTAGATGGTATGTTTGTAACCATATATGTGACTACCGCAGACAATAAACCAAATTTGTTGCGTGATGTTCAAAACGTAAGATGCGAGCTCAAATTTTTGTATTGAGCACAAGTATTTTTTTTTTAAACCTTCCGCACGAATAGAAAGCTTCCCAACCTTTGGTCATAAACAAAATGTATTCCGAATGAAAACATGGAATCGATAAGCCGTGGAAAAAAGGCTGTCCCTAAGGTTTTAAATCATACATCTGGTGTTCCATGTTTCCCTCTGAAACTACCCCACGAAGAGATGTACGTAATTTTTCCCAGCGCGAATAACCACCGCCGGTTCCCATAGTAATATCAAATGGCTATTTTCTCGACAGAATTCAGTTTAAAGGAGTAAAGAGACGTTTAATTCCAAAGCAGCTTATGTTTTTATTGGATGTAATTCATTTGGTAATATTTTGAAATTATGAAAACCACTGAATAATTTAATTTATTGAGTAGCAGTTTTTCGTCTAGTGAATTATGTGGTGAGATCCATGGAGTGTTTTGAAATAGTTTGGACTTAAAACACTGACAAATTATTAAACGTATTTGATCTGTCTGTTAGGAGGTATGAAACGACTTGAGCGAACATCTCGATCCATTTTTGAGTTGGATGGTTAGAATTGCTGAGTGAGTTCACGTAAACGTTTTGAAACCATTTGAGTTTACAACAAAATATTCTCAAATTTTGTTTTTGCTCCATAGTATATCATGTGTAAATTTCTGATGTCTTGAATATACATAGTCAATAATTCAAAAATCTAAAAAGGTTAAAATAAAAAAAATGGACAATGGAAATCGAAAAACCCTATCCATCTAAATGAATGTACATGCATATCAAATTAACAACTTGATAGCTTGCTAGGGAAATGGAGTCTAAAAATATTTAATCTTGGTTTGTTCGTCAATATAGTAGTTGTTACATACTGTAGTTTCTGAATTACTACCACCAACTTAAAATTTTCTTAGAGATGGGGTGGTTGAACGGGCTAGTGCGTGTGCAAAGCACCTCGTTGCTCAGCAAGATCAAAGATAATTTGATAAAATAATTACGAATACGAGTTCGCGTCCCGGTTCCCGGGGGAGGGCTTTTAACTCTGGTATTAATCCCTGCCCTGGGAAAACCCTTTATAGTATAAAAGGTTAAAAAAAGAATTAAAATATTCTTAGATATTTTGTCTTGTTGAACTAATCAATTAATACAAGAAAATTCATGATATCAGTTAAAATATTTATATAGATTTAAAAAATATATGTTTTAAAAGTGAAGACTTTTTATCCAGTATTTCGAAAGCAACTGTAAGGTTAGAAATACATAAAATGTACGGTAAAAGAAAAAGAAGAGATGTGATCCCACTTTTTTTGTTTCGTACACGTGCTTAGCTCGGCTGAAAACGAGGAGGAGTATGACAGAGAGGTCGGCGTTGGAGTGACGTTGATGGGGTCCCAAGGCGCCTGGAAACCTCTTCCAAAAATAATATATTTTTTATTATAATCTTCGAGGGGCAAGTTAACAAGAACTCCTGTTACGTTTGAGAAGGAGACGTCCCACTCGAGGATAACTCTGTCAGATTGTTAATATTTCCTAGACGTATTACCCCTATCTTTCTTATATCCGATCTTGAGAAAGACCAATCACAAAATGTTGGGGCGGTTTGAAGTAATATTTGGCACATACCTGGGGAACGTTCTATATTAAATTTTAAAATTTGCTGTATATTATAGTTTCCGATAAACCAAAAATCGATTGAAAACTTAAATGAATGAAGAAGAATAGTTCTGAACTGCCTAGAGCACGTCAGAAAATATATATTTTTTTCTGTTTTAACTTTTATTATCGTTTAACCTCTGTTAGAATGATATCTTTATAATCAATAACTGCAATACTCCAGATGGAAATTTCTTATTCGAAAGGGTCCAAATTTCGTGTATCTGGGAATGCTTGTCCCCTTATCTAACTACATGACCCTCGAAATCGGCCAGCGGAACACAGCAGCCAACCGGTGCTATTTTGGGATCACAAGACAGATGAAGAGCCGCCTGCTCATCAGAGGAACAAAGTCACAGCTGTATAAGACAGCTGAGAAGGGTCTCCTAATTTTTGAAAGAAGAATATACGGCCCTATAGAGGGATGGGAGGGGGGAGAATGGAGAAGAAGAAAGAACCATGCGCTGTATAGCTTGTGCACATGGTCCATCAAAGTGAGCAGGACAAATGGCGGAGGAGAGAATATCTAAAAATGTTATTGAGGGCCTAAACCGAACAAGGAGAAGAGGAAAGTCCGGGTTGAGATGGAGACTGAAGAGGACAATTCACCTACGGAAACGAAAAGCGGCTGCGAGAGAACGAGCTGGATGGCAGTAGCTTTTAGAAGAGACCAAGAACAACCTCGGGTTGTAGAAGTCATCGAAGTGAGTATGTATGTTCAAAACGAGATTTGAAAGATGTTGCGAGGTTAATTATCCAAGTGTTGGGTGAGGTAGGGGCCCAAAAAAAAAAAAAAAAAAAAAAGCTTTATTTTGGTACGCGGCCAAAGTTTCTGATTAAGCGAAATCCAGGTCAGATATACATATGTCGTAAAATAAAAGTATATTTTTTATTATTACATTTGTTTATGTTTTTGTTTACAATTTCGAATATAATACAATAATACGAATATAATACAATAAATATGAATACGAAGATAGGAATCATGAGAAGGCTTATCAGTGCCTTATCAGAATTATCAGTGTTGAGGTTATAAACATTGGCAGATAGCGGTCCGTCCCGCCCGGCTAATGGACAAGTACCGTAAACTTCAAGCCCATCCAAATCGAATAGTTGCTACTTCTTCGTTTACTAATAACCCTCCGAAGACCTTCTAATATAGAACTATAGTTGAAGTGCCATTGGGTAGTTTATCTTCAAGGCTGTACATGTCTTATATCAATTCACATCCTTAATACAATTGTAAATTTCAATAAAGAAATCTAAAAAAAATATTTTGAAAGAGGTCATAATTTGAACCTTTTTTTTATTCTAAAGGAAAGGTTTTTGTCACACCAGTGAACATTATTATTATTATACTTTTATATTACTATTATTATAATATTATATAAGATGTACTCACTGTGGGGCGGGTGGAGCGTAGCGGGCTGGGACGGGGGCTCTCTGCTCTTGACGAGGGCGGGCAGCCGTCGCCAGAAGCCCCCAGGACTCTTCCTCTTCGTGGGCTGAGGGCGGCCCAGGCTGTTGGTCCCCGTCGAAGAGGACGAGAACCCGGAGTCGATGGAGGAGCTCGCGGGCGACAGGAGATCCGCCGTGAGCTGTTCGCCAGGGGCCACCGGCATGATCATCGCCTCCATCGAGAGGTTCAACTCGTCCAGGACCTGCAACATCAAGAAGAAGGAGAGGGATCAAGCAGGAGGAAATGTAATAGGATCTTAAAGGCCGAATCTTCAAAATGACTTCTATCAATGCTGACTGTCTTTTAAAGGTACATTTAACATTGTTTAATCTAGTGCCTCTCGCTATTAATGATAATAGTTTGTGACGAAAAATAAAATATATAAAAAAAAAAATTTCTCTATCGCAATACTTACCCTTACTATATATTACATACATACGTAAGTGAAAGTAAAAATATTTTAAAATCGCGATATCTCTACTAATAGTGCTTCGATTTCGATGAAACTTCATTCATTTTTTAGACAATTTAAATATCTTTGTAACATCTTATCACAATATGCTCAAAATAAGTGTATACTTTTTGAGTTATTCGGAATTTAATTTTACCATCCCTCGTAACTTTTTTTCTAGCTTCTTTTCGTTGAAGTACAGTCTATAGCAACGCATGTTTTTCAACATTTTTTTTCTCCTTTATTAACTTAGAAAAATCCTTCAAAAGTTATATTTAGCATTTTTTGTAACTCTGAATAATGTGAAATGATTAACGTTTTAAAATAAACCATATTAAAGGTAATTTAAAGGAAAACGTATCTCTACATTGAGCATTTAAGCCCTGTAAATTGGCATCAATATGGATAAGACCTAATTGATATTAAATACAACTTAATCATACAACGATTCACTGAGTTTAATCAAAATCGTTAGAGCCGTTTTAGAGAAAATTGTGAAAATGTGTTTCAGCGTTGTTAGCCGATTTTAAGGGGAAAGTTGCTGTCACATCTAAGGCATACACCTATCTTAAATACGTAATATCAGTTTCGTAGGACTTTTCGTTTTTGAGCTAGACTGCTAACATACAAACACACAGACCATTTTTTGGGACTTGGTCATTTCGACTCAGGGTACCTCAAAACGTGTATTTCCGTTAAAAACTCAGATTCAAAAATTTTCTCGATCGCAATACTTACCCTTACTATATAATACATATATACGTAAGTGAAAGTAATTACCCTTACTATATATTACATATATATGTAAGTGAAAGTAAAAATTAGTTTGTAAAATAATTGTTAGTTTTACCTCCAAGAGGGTTAGCTAAAAATAAATTAGTTTTAAGTATTGGTTGTTGTTGTTGTTGTTTTGGGTTTAAGGGCAAAAAACTGCTGATGGTTATCATTGCTCTCAAATAGTACAAGTATTGGTTGTAAATGTTAATTTTAAGTCAGTGTAACAGCAAAGATATGAGAGAGAAAAAACAAATGAGAGTTTAGAGGCACGCTAATGATTTTTGTCTGTGAAATAATTTAGTTTTATGACAATACCATGATTTATGGTAATGATGAAAATACCAGATTTATTTTCCTCTCAAAGAATCTGTGATTATCAGCGACGAGTGTCGCTTGATTTTACAAGTTGGTGCATGAACATTTTCCCTGCTTGAGGAGATAAATAGGGGAGACACTGACGACTCAAGCTGGAATAAGTTCCCGCTTCGTCAGATAACTCTATGTGCCAATTGGACAAAGTTCGGCATTGAGATTTTGTAAATATGTGTATATAAGTTTTTATTTCCTATCTTTTTTCCCCTAAATATTTGTGGCCGATTTGGAGCCTTGTCAGCATTATTTCCTCTGTTCTATTTAACTGAAGGTCTGCTCGATTTGGAACTACAGAGGGCTCGATCACTCTCAACTTATTCTCTCTTAAAACATGAAAGCGACCCTGTCATTTTTCCAGAGCCTTTCACTTTACCAAAGCTACTATTTCTTTTGGAAAATCATCCCCTACTGGAGTTCCTTCCGTGATTGCTTGTTTTGCCATGATATCGGCTAGCTCATTACCTCTCATACCTGAGTGACCCGGTAACCACAAAAATTGTACCATACATCCTACACCCTCCAATGATCTTATATGCCTAACCGTGTCTATGACTAATGAATTAGTTGAAAACGAGTTTTTAATAGCTTTGAGGGCATATTCCGAATCTGTACAAATATAAATTTGCTGTTTATTGCAGTTGAGATTACAAACGGCACGATTTATTGCAAACAGTTTTTCATGGTAGGAAGTACAATAAGGACCAATGAGAACATTTGCACATTGTCAGAAACAGTGGCCGCACCGACTCCATCTTGAGTTTTTGAACCATCTGTGAAAAGATATTCCCAATTGGAATGTTTCATTTGGAAATCCGTGAACTCTGCCGGTCCTAACTTTAAAGCAAGGGCCTTGTTACACTTTACTTTATGCATTTTTGGAATTGGTAACACCCCGAGGTTTGTAAACATGTAATCCATATTAAATGTACTAGTGTTACTTTGTTGGTTCATTATTTTCGATAATCAACCATTGTGATCGACCAAAAAATTCAAAAACTTAACCCCCTCTCAAAATTTGAGGTTTCACGTTTCAGGATGCGTAGAATTCGAAAAACGAATAAAAAAATTTTTTGTCCGTCCGCCGTCCGCGCATTTTCACCGAACTACTGGACCGATTTTTTTTTTCAAATTTTGATATAAAATCAGATGTGACCCGAGGATGATCCTTCTTCATCGACATTACTATCCGCCTTTTACTTTCAAAATGGCGGCCGAAAAATCTCCGTTGCTATAGACTGTAGCTCCTAAACGAATGTACAGATTTCAATGAAACTTCGCTACAGTCATTTTCTCGACGCCCTTTAAATTTATCTATATAACATACTTCAACGAAAAGAAGCTGGAAAAAAAGTAACGAGGGATGGTAAAATTAAATTCCGAAGAACTCAAAAAGTTTACACTTTTTTGTAGATAATGTGATAAGATGTTTCAAAGGTATTTAAATTTCCTACTAAATGAAGGAAATTTCATCGAAACCGAAGCACTATTAGTAGAGATATCGCGATTTTTAAATATTTTTGGTTTATTATTTTCAATAATCAACCATTGTGATCGACCAAGAAATTCAAAAACTTAACCCCCTCTCAAAATTTGAGGTTTCACGTTTCAGGATGCGTAGAATTCGAAAAACGTGGTTATTGTATATGGTTTTTCAAAAGTTTACGGAATTTCCTAGAAAAAAAAAAAAAAGAATCGTTAAAATCGGGCAATTATTAGCAAAGATATGGTCTCCAGTTTTTGTTTATAATTTCTACTCCAAATGTTATATCCTTTGTTTGGTTTTTAAATTTTGAATGTGTTACTGAAGTAATGTTATTTTTTTTAAAGCATATTACTAATGATTAAAAAAAAAGTTTAGTTCAATTATTAGAATCTTCTTTTATTTATTTTTCTTTGTAACTAGGAAGGTAGTGTTACTTCAGATGTATAATTGTTTGGAAATAATAAACCATTGTGAAAGAATTTGCAGCGTTTTTACTATTGTTCAGATATGCTTGCGATAGCAATGGAAATTAATATTCGAATGACCTCTTTGCATTTTGTCAAACAAGACTAATGGAGTAATGTTTTGAACCATGTTATTATTATTTTAGGGGACTTTAGTGTCAGAATAAAATTATTTTTTTCATTTCATCCATATATGGTAATAAGAGATAGCTACCTGGAGGTGCTTGGAGTGGACGTAGCGTACCTCCTCCTCCAGCCGCATGGCCCCGATTTCCTCGTAAAGGTTCTCCTGGAAGCGCGGTGCAGGGCGGCGCCGGTAGACTGGCGGCCTGCTGCTCGGCCCAGCCGCCTCCTCGTCCTCGTCTTCGTCGTCGTAAGCGTAGTCGTACTCCTCCGGCGGGAACGGCGGCGGCGGCGGGAACCGCAAGTAGGGACCTCTCCCCGAGGGGCCCGCCACCACGTCCATACCGCGCTCTCTCCTGGTAACAAAATACAACAACCTTAATAACATCGAAACAATAATAATATCTTTGGAGTATGGACAAGTTTCTGAAAAAAATAATATAACAGAGCAGCACTAGCTAGAAATTGCTACTACATGTTCATTTTATATAACGAAAAATACATTTTCAGTCAATCAGTGAAAAACATTTCCAGACTGTCAATACCAAATCTTTGGACCGATTTTTTACTACTTTTTTTTTTTTTGTTTTGAAAGGTTTTGATTACCGATACCTGTGAAACAAATTAGGTGCTCCCTGTGCAATAACTGAAAAACTTTTTCCTAGAGAGTGTAGCGCAAAACGCCTCTAACGATTTTGATAAAACATCCCTATAATATTTTACTCCAAGCCCTATCAATTTTTGTTTTTGAAATGAAGCGCCGAGAAAATTCAGGAAAAATGTTGGTACTTGTGAACGACGTGGTCTCTGGTAAACTTCATTCGTATCTTATCTTACGTCAACTTCTTATCTTATGTTACGTCACATAACCTGCCTTTTTATCTAGTGTGAGCTGTTGTGTGTTGGTTTATTGATTGAACTTTGTTGATTGTGTGTTATTGAAATGGATTCACATTGTGGGAGTTGCCGTAGGCAGGTATGTAGTCAGGTGGGAGGTAGGCAAGTAATAAAACCAGTAACAAAACAAATCAAGCATAACCTATTGATAACTCTAAAACAATTGAATACTCGCTTGGAAAAAAACCGTGTAGAGTGTTCTGCAAACAAATTAGATTCATAAAGAAGGTACATATAATTAAGAATATTTTTTAATTAATGAAAAAAGCTTCATATTAGGCTGAACACTAGCAATAACCATGCGTTTGAGAGTAGTAGTGGTCAACTGCAGAATGATTACCTAACACGATACTGAAGATTAACTAACATCTTTCTCACTTTATACACTACATATAATACTGAAGTATGGATCCCATTTTCGGCTCTCAGGAGCGAAATATTTTGATAAATTAGGTATCGAAAGAAACGGAATTTCATGGAGAACTGACGAATTTCAATTTCGACCCTTAAATTCCTAGAACTTTTGTAAAAAGCATTGAAAATATGATAAAAAAAAAAAAATATATATCAGGGATGATATAGATTTTTTCTTTTTCGACTCACCACATCTTCGTTTACAAGAGAAAATAAAATAAGTTAGTTTGAATTTAGATGACAAAAAACAATTGAGGCAGTGAACTGCGACATTCCATTTTGTAAAATATTCGCTGCGCTGAAAAATATTCGAGATCAGAGAAGTCAAATTATATTATTAAAAGAAAATACGCACCGGATGAAATCAATAGGTTTATTTTATTTTTTTATATATTTTTTTTTTGGGAGGAGGGAAAAGAACCACGGTCGGGTAGGCAGCGATGAGCTCTACCCTTCCTCCCTGTGGCAGGACCAGTGGCCCGGCCTGCCCGAATGGCAACAAAAAACATATTAAAATGGATTTTTTTCCCCTCCAGGTTTTAATCTCGCATCGAAAATATTCATCGTTTAGAAGCGATTTGCCCAGAGGTGGCATCTCTTGTCAACCGTAATCCTCATTTACATAATTCCTTAGGAAGGATCAAAATGGCGGCTGATTCCTTCCTTCCCCTCAGGATTACGGATCCTGACAATCCGGGTTGCACAGCGTACTTTATTTAAATTACTGATAAAGTGAATGGCAAATTGAGATATACCACAATATGTGAAAGATGCCTCGGCTGAATTATAATTATATGGTTGAATAAAAAAAGCTGCAATCATCTGCGAAGAAAAAAAAAATTATGAAAACCGTTTTGCATAATCTAAATCAATTAATAATCAAGTACAATAATTTAAAAAACATCTTATAATTTTAATTCTTTAAAATGATTCAATGTAGGATAGGGGACGGGGTACTCGGCAACATGGTAAACCAAAATGAATTTAATGATAAAATAATTATAAAATGAGTTCAATCCAAATATCTAAACATGCAACGATAGTCGATATTTTAGAACTCATTTGAATCAGTAAAGGAGCAGGAAACGTAATAGATTTCATTTGGGCTCCATCCCACTCTGGTATACACGATGACTCGAACGCATTTTAACAATGAGATAAAATCTATCAAGTATGTTTCTCGGGAGGACTGGGTGAGGCAAGCGAAACGTCAAATAATAGCTCAATGGAATGAAACATGGACCAAACTTGCACTGGTTAAACCCAATAGTGCTAAATGGCGTGGGGACGAGGTGGCCGAATGGACTAAAGCTTGTGCACAGCACCGCGAGTTGCCTGGCAACCGGAGGACAAGATTTGAGATGGTTTAAAAGTACGAGTTCGCGTCCCGGTGCCGGAGGGGATTTTAAATTTCCAGCCCTCCCCCTCCGGCCGGGAAAATCCCGTATAGCCTAAAAGGCAAGGTAGAGAAGAACCAAAAAAAAAGTGCTAAATGGCGTATGAGTAACAGGAGGTCTAGAAGAGAGGAAATTATCCTGTGCAGCCTCAGAATTGGTCACTACGAATTTTCGCACGGCTACCTACTCCACGGTCAAGAACCACCTATTTGCGTCAGGTGTGGTTCTCCTAGAACTGTGACACATACTGGTGGATTGCACACATTACGCAGTTATCCGAAAGAATCTTAACATGCACGAGACTATCCGGGATGTGTTGCAGGATGCGGAGAGAGAAGTGGAAATCTTACTGGACTTCTTGAAAACAATAAAATATGAAAAGTGCGAGTGAGTTGAGGATTGCCAATGACTTAGCTATCATACGAAATGGGATTTCATGGAGATTAATCAAGATTTCGAACCTTAAATTCATAAACAAATTTCAAATAAACGGACCGAGAGAAGTTTACTCTTTAAATTTTCTTTTAAAGATTTCAACACGAGAAAATCAAGGATCAGTATAAACGTAGTGCCTTAGAATAAATCGTAATTGTTGCCGGAAACCTCTCTCGGTTGCCATGCTAGTCTTTAACGACCTATAAGTCTGTTAATACAATAAATGAAAAAGCTCTATGATCCCTAAGGCATTTTGGATAATTTAGAATGACATTTTTTTATGTTTTTAATAATTTTAATAAAAAAAATATAGATAGATAGATAGAAAAAAAAACTTTATTCTGGGACTAAGTCCCTTCAGAATAACAATAATGTACAAAATAATAGAATATTACTGGCCTAAACGTTTGAAACAATAAATAAAATTGATAAAATAAAATAATAAGTAAAGAAAACCTTAGGTGCACAAGCTGTATACAATACAGATAAAACTATGTACAGAGCATTTAAAATTATGAACAAAACAATTAAAACTATGAACGAATCACTTGAACTATGAACAAAACTATATATAAGGGTTGAACAAGATAAACATACATTTTGAGAAATGAAGAACGAAAAAGAGATAGAATGAGTTCATTTTATAAAAAAAAACTTTACTTGAATACATATATAAAATATATACTTCTTCTACGATTATTCTCTGAGTAATAGATATCGTAGAAAGTGAGAGACTGTTCTGCATCAAACAAAGAGGTCGTGATCGCGAACAATAATAGATTAGTATAAGTTGAGGGAAGTTGCTGAGTCTTACTGTGTACTTATTAACCTGGACGAATATTTTTAAGTCCGACATGCTGATCACTCATTAGGTAAGTTTTTCATTAACAGTCGTGGTAAAGTATAAACGTTCTCAACTTTTCGGAATTGAATATACACACATAAAATTTCTGCCTTAAAGGTCGTATGCATTAGACAGAAGAATTTATCTAATATGAGATTTCCCTCTGGAAATATGCTAGTCAAAATTCAATATTAACTAGTTGGGGAGTGCCAATGATTCCCATTGCACTACAATAATGGTCAAATGATATGGAATTTAATATGGAAATAAGTTGATGGAATGTATTATGAGAGGAAGAAAATGATTGTCCTTTCCTTGGTCGATTGCAATGGTTCATTCTAAATAATAGACCTTCACAAGTGTACAAATTACAATTGGGATTTATCCAGAACTGGTGTTATTTCTAAGATTTTTTTTAATCCATTGGGAATTTGGAAACATTTTAAAATTTGTATAAGGAAGAGCATTGTACACTTTTTGAGTTATTCAAAAATAATTTTTTTTCTTCATAATTTTTATTTTTCATATATTTTTTCAGACTTTTTTGGGTATGTAATTATTTTTCGTACCCGTTTCGATCCGTCCACTTACTAATGCCGGATTATTGAAACTCATTTTTTTTTTCAATGAATTTTATTGAAGTTGTAATCCGAATTTAAGGATCGAAATTCTAGTCCGTCGTATCATAGACTGGAGAGGGTATGTACGGAAGTCTCCTTGGATTGGATGAGTGTTGAGGATCAAGATGGCCGCTAATGAGCGTAGACAACGCTAATGGCGGAGTAGCACCTTACCATAGCACCATTAGTAATATAGCAAAAAAGAATGATATAATTTTATTTTACTATAACTATTTTTAAATTGTCTTTCTTATAGTAGTTGTTACCCAACTTGAAGCACAAAGGAGGTTATGTGTTAAATAATTCAGTGGAATCCTTTGAAACAATTTGATCTCGTACTAATGAAAAATTATGTGAAGTATTCTCATACTTCAGCCTTTATATTCTAAACATTTTTCTATCTAGCATGTTCACTTTCCGTGATTAGACCCTCTATTTCTTGCTTTTTATAAGAATCTAGCCTACATTTATGGCATTCTAAATCGAATTTAATTAAAAAAATAATTACTTACATTAATGTTGTAAATAATTAATGTACTTTTTGTCCTCTTAAAGAAAAACATAATATGAAATACAATAGGTCCATAATTTCAGGTTTTTCTTTGGCATAGAATTGTAAAGCCATTGTTGTAAGTTGTTTTAAAAGACGAGGCGAACCTTTTAAAGATAATAAGGAAGGATACAGAGTAGAAATCCCGAGTCATCCCGTCGTGTAAACAGCTCCTGGTGGTGGGGCCTTAGTCGACAAGGA